GAGAAATAAGGTTGTGACGAAGAGTGGGAATGTGGAGGCCAGTGATAGTGCCGGAGGGAAAGAGGGGACACGGAAGAGTAGAGGAGTGTGTGCATGGGATCGAGAAGCTAGAATCAGCGCCATGAACAGTGGAGGGGAGAGATAGTGTTTTGAGAATGCCAGCGTCCTTCAGGGCACTGACGGTGGCCCCGCTATCGAGGACAAAGTCCAAGGTGAGCGGGGAAGGAGACGCAGAATACTGGAAGTCACTGTTATCAAGAACAGAGGGATACATGGAGGTGGTGCTAGGCAAGGGAGAAGCTAGCTGACCAAGAAAGCTAGAGTATGACTCAGCTGGGGAGGTATGGGCGGCGGTGGCGGCAGATTCGAAGCCAAGAGGTTGCTGCTGCCAGGCGGCAGTTGCTGCTGCTGCTGCTGCTGCTGCTGCTGCTGCTGCTGCTGCCGCTGCCGCTGCTGTGGCGGCTGCGCCTCCCCCACCTCCCCAGGGCGGCTGCTGTGGCTGCTGGTGCGGCTGCGGCTGTGGGGGCAGCTGCGGGGGCTGCTGCAACTGCTGTGACTGAAGATGCTGCAAAAACTGCTGGAGTTGCAGTTGAGGAGAGGGAGTGGTGAGGTTAAGGTGGGAGGGTTGATAGAGAGGGAGATGTTGAACATCATGGACAGTGGGACGACTTGCAAGAGCGGACCAGCGGGGGGGGGTACCATGGTTACCACGATCAAACCAGGCATCGTCCAAGACGCCGAAGCAGGTGGTTATGGGGTGGTTGGTTTGACCGCAGGGTTCCCCAGCGCGAGGGCCGTGACGGCGAACGTAGGGGCAGGGGGGGAGTTGACCAGGTCCGCTACCACCACGTCCACTTCCTCCAGGGCCGCCCGTGCAAGAAGGAGTGCGTCCACCAAAGGTGCCACCACGTCCACCACCACGGCCGCCACCACGCCCACGTCCACGTCCGCCACCGCGACCACCACCACGCCCACCACCGCGTGTCTGGGTGGCGTTGAGTTCTGGCGCGGGTGCTTGAGCCGTGTTGAGAGAAGGCGGGTTGGTACGAAGGAGGCGGGTTTCGGTGTCAATGATCCATTGAACAACAGCAGCAACATCCGCAAACGGCTGATTTTCGCGGAAGGCAATGACGTGCATGTCGTAGGACGGGTTGAGACCGCGGAGAAGGCGATCTATCTGGATGAACTGGGGGAGTTCGGACTGGCGAGCCTTAAGTCGCTTGGCGAGAGAGGTCATGCGGCCGGTGTAGGCGACGGCACCAGTGCAGGTTGCGAGCGTTGTCTCCCAGTATTCGTCAAGGAGCAGCCCCACGGAGTTGACGTCATGGCGCTCAAACATGGCGTGAAGGGAGGCCCAAAGGGCAGGTGCGTGAAGCTCTTGTTCCTGAAAGTCTCGCATTAGAGCGGGGGGGAGACCACCAAGGATAATATTAGAGGCAGAAAGGTCAGATTCCTTCCAAGCAGCAGCTTTAGCGGTATATTCAGCGAGCGCGAGAATGTAGCGGTCAGCCATGGTGCGGTGATTTATTATGGCAGCTTGGCGCATGTCGTATTGCTCGCGAGCCGCACGATGGTCCGCTCGGAGCGTGAGGAACCGACGCCGCTCGAGATCGTAGGCTGCTTCATCAGCGGCTTGGCGAACAGGATCCGTGGAGGCAGCAGGCAGATCTGGTTCGTCAGGTTCAGGTCCAGGGTCAGGCGGGAGAGTGGGGGCCGATCCAGGGGACATAGGGGGCGTTGGCGGGAGAGCGGCAGCATGGCGGAGGACAAGGTCGAGGAGGGTGGAGGAGGTGTTGGGGATGTGGATGACGCCGAGGAGGCGGCGCATGCTCCTTGTGTAGGAGTACCAGTTGATAGCGCTCTGATCGGGAGCGAGCTCGAGCCGATCAATGGAGAGAGTGTTGAAATTCTGAGGAAGAGAAGGAGCAGCCATAGCAGTAAGTTAGTGCGATGTGAGGGGAGAAAAAATGTTAGTAGCGAGCGAAAGCGAGGCAGGTTAGAAGCTGAGGGAGAGGAGGAGGGGGGTTAGTAGCAGCACGTGGGAGAGGATTGGGAGCAGTAGCGTGGCAGGAGAGGCGGAGAGCAGAGATAGTATGAGAGAGGCAGCGGGAGAGGAAACGGTGGGCGGAAGCAATGGGGGGGGGGGGAAGGGTCGAGGGAGCGGCGGGGAGGAAGAGATGAGGCAGTAGCTAAGTGCCTGGCGGCGAGGGAGAGTAGGAGCAGCCGCGGCGAAGTGTCTTGCAGCGAGGAGAGGCAGTGGCGGCGGCAAATTGCCCGCAGCGAGTGAGTAGAGGCGGCGGAGGCGAAATGCCCCGCGGCGAGTGGGAGCAGTGGCGGCGGCGGCGAAATGCCCCGCGGCGAGTGGGAGCAGTGGCGGCGGCGGCGAAATGCCCCGCGGCGAGTGGAGTAGTGGCGGCGGAGGCGAAATGCCCCGCGGCGAGTGGGAGCAGTGGCGGCGGAGGCGAAATGCCCCGCGGCGAGTGGGAGCAGTGGCGGCGGCGGCGAAATGCCCCGCGGCGAGTGGGAGCAGAGGCGGCGGCGGCGAAATGCCCCGCGGCGAGTGGGAGCAGTGGCGGCGGCGGCGAAATGCCCCGCGGCGAGTGGAGTAGTGGCGGCGGAGGCGAAATGCCCCGCGGCGAGTGGGAGCAGTGGCGGCGGCGGCGAAATGCCCCGCGGCGAGTGGGAGCAGTGGCGGCGGCGGCGAAATGCCCCGCGGCGAGTGGGAACAGTGGCGGCGGCGGCGAAATGCCCCGCGGCGAGTGAAGCAGCGGCGGCGGCGGCGAAATGCCCCGCAAGGAAGAAAAGCGGTGCGAGAGTAGTGGCGACGGCGGATAGGTCGCGGCGATTGAGACGCCGGCAGCTGAGAACGTAAATGCGGCGGCAGGAGCTGAGGCGAGAAATTCGCCTTACGAGAGATAGAGTAGGAGCTGGAGGGAGGTGGTGACTGGTTGTACTTTACGGAAGATTGAACTTCAACCAAGTCAAACCCACGCAACAAGTTGCATGGGCAGGACGGAAGGGTCCTGACGAGCGGGGAGGAAAAAAAAAAACTTGAGAGAAAGAGGTCGAGAGGGGCGTTTGCCAATTGGCTCTGAATACCATGAAAGAATCTCAAGTGTTGTCTTGATTAGAAAGAGTGTCGGTACATATAGGAGATGAGAAGTTTTGGGAACGAAGTGGGGTACCCTCAGCATTTATTGGTGGACCAATCAGATTGGGTCGACCATCAATTGCTGGGGTAACCAACAATCGTTGGAGGGGACCATTATTGGCCCCCCCCGTCAATTGCGGTCGAGTTGGGTTTGGGGGCGCCCAACCAAAATTGGTTGGGTCGCCTTGACCCAAAGTGTACACCCACTTTAGGGTGTAACACATGCACAAATATAAACATACATTATGCTATATTCTAACAGGTGAGGCAAGGAGAAGGGGGGGAGCAGGTGAGGTAAATCAATGACTATTGAGTGGCAGCATGAGCGGTGCTTGCAGCTGGTGTGGCGCAAGGTGAGGCAAGGAGAAGGGGGGGAGCAGGTGAGGTAAATCAATGACTATTGAGTGGCAGCATGAGCGGTGCTTGCAGCTGGTGTGGCGCAAGGTGAGGCAAGGAGAAGGGGGGGAGCAGGTGAGGTAAATCAATGACTATTGAGTGGCAGCATGAGCGGTGCTTGCAGCTGGTGTGGCGCAAGGTGAGGCAAGGAGAAGGGGGGGAGCAGGTGAGGTAAATCAATGACTATTGAGTGGCAGCATGAGCGGTGCTTGCAGCTGGTGTGGCGCAAGGTGAGGCAAGGAGAAGGGGGGGAGCAGGTGAGGTAAATCAATGACTATTGAGTGGCAGCATGAGCGGTGCTTGCAGCTGGTGTGGCGCAAGGTGAGGCAAGGAGAAGGGGGGGAGCAGGTGAGGTAAATCAATGACTATTGAGTGGCAGCATGAGCGGTGCTTGCAGCTGGTGTGGCGCAAGGTGAGGCAAGGAGAAGGGGGGGAGCAGGTGAGGTAAATCAATGACTATTGAGTGGCAGCATGAGCGGTGCTTGCAGCTGGTGTGGCGCAAGGTGAGGCAAGGAGAAGGGGGGGAGCAGGTGAGGTAAATCAATGACTATTGAGTGGCAGCATGAGCGGTGCTTGCAGCTGGTGTGGCGCAAGGTGAGGCAAGGAGAAGGGGGGGAGCAGGTGAGGTAAATCAATGACTATTGAGTGGCAGCATGAGCGGTGCTTGCAGCTGGTGTGGCGCAAGGTGAGGCAAGGAGAAGGGGGGGAGCAGGTGAGGTAAATCAATGACTATTGAGTGGCAGCATGAGCGGTGCTTGCAGCTGGTGTGGCGCAAGGTGAGGCAAGGAGAAGGGGGGGAGCAGGTGAGGTAAATCAATGACTATTGAGTGGCAGCATGAGCGGTGCTTGCAGCTGGTGTGGCGCAAGGTGAGGCAAGGAGAAGGGGGGGAGCAGGTGAGGTAAATCAATGACTATTGAGTGGCAGCATGAGCGGTGCTTGCAGCTGGTGTGGCGCAAGGTGAGGCAAGGAGAAGGGGGGGAGCAGGTGAGGTAAATCAATGACTATTGAGTGGCAGCATGAGCGGTGCTTGCAGCTGGTGTGGCGCTAGGTGAGGCAAGGAGAAGGGGGGGAGCAGGTGAGGTAAATCAATGACTATTGAGTGGCAGCATGAGCGGTGCTTGCAGCTGGTGTGGCGCAAGGTGAGGCAAGGAGAAGGGGGGGAGCAGGTGAGGTAAATCAATGACTATTGAGTGGCAGCATGAGCGGTGCTTGCAGCTGGTGTGGCGCAAGGTGAGGCAAGGAGAAGGGGGGGAGCAGGTGAGGTAAATCAATGACTATTGAGTGGCAGCATGAGCGGTGCTTGCAGCTGGTGTGGCGCAAGGTGAGGCAAGGAGAAGGGGGGGAGCAGGTGAGGTAAATCAATGACTATTGAGTGGCAGCATGAGCGGTGCTTGCAGCTGGTGTGGCGCAAGGTGAGGCAAGGAGAAGGGGGGGAGCAGGTGAGGTAAATCAATGACTATTGAGTGGCAGCATGAGCGGTGCTTGCAGCTGGTGTGGCGCAAGGTGAGGCCTTGGTGAGGCCAAGAGGAAGGAGGAGGGGGGAGGGGAGGAAGGAGGGTGGAGGCGTGATGCCATTGTCATCACTGGCAGCTGCTGCTCTCCCTTCCCATCTGGTCTCTCCTTTTCATATCACGTGCCAAATCCCCCAACCTCTCTCCTTTTCATATCACATGCCAAATCCCCCAACCTCTCTCTCTTCCTCCTTCCCTCCCTTCCCCCTTCCCGGCCCTTCTTCACGTTTTCCCCCTCCCATCTACCCCCCTCTCTACCTCCCCCTAGGTATTCCTCCCCGCCCTACGCCGCCCCCCTACCTCCCAGCCCTCCACCTCCTCCTCCTCCTCCGCGTCCACCCTCTCGGCCGCCTCGTCTCTCTTCTCCTCGCTCGCCTCTGCCGCCTCTACCAGCGCCTCCTCCCTGCCCTGGCCGGGCGGCAGCACCGTGGGCGGCGCACTGGGAATGGGTGGCCAGAAGAAGCCGGCAGCACCTGTGGCAGGCGGAGTGGGAGGTGAGGGGGGGAGGTGAGGGAGTGGGTGGGGTGAGTAAGATAAGAGGGGCCGTGCTTTTTATGAGTTTCCCAGCTGCCTCTGCAAGTTCATCTTACCAAGGCAAACCCCTTCTCTGCTCCCCTTGCTTCCTTATCCTCTCCTATAGTCTCTCCCTTTCTTCCCACTCCCCTGTCTAAACTCACGTGCCCATTCTCCCTTTCCACCCTCTTCTCCTCTCATCAACCCATCTCCTCCCATCCCACACCCTCTTCTCCTCTCATCAACCCATCTCCTCCCATCCCACACCCCTCTTCTCCTCTCATCAACCCATCTCCTACCATCCCACACCCCTCTTCTCCTCTCATCAACCCATCTCCCATCCCACACCCCTCGTCTCCTCATCAAACCCATCTCCTCCCATCCCACACCCCTCTTCCTACCAGACGCTGAGAGGGCTCCGTGGTGGAGCAAGCTGGTGGGTGTGGAGCGGTGGAGAGCGGTGCTGCACGATGCATCCTTCAGCCTGTGTCCGCAGCGTGCCATGGGGCGATGCTGTGGCTGCCTGTACCTGCTGGAGAAGCAGGTGAGGCCTTGTCTGAATGGTATAGCTTGGGTTGTTGCCTGTATCCTTCAGTGGACTGAAATACTGTTGCCTGTCTCAAATCTCGATTCTACCATCCCGTCCCCCATTCCCTACACCGTACCATCCCCCATCCCCCATCCCCCATCCCCCATCCCATCCCCACCCACCAGGTCTTAGAGCACTGTCTCATGCGTCTCGACTCAGCAATCTTCAACGCACTCCTGCGCTCCAACCCTGACGCACCGCCTGCCGAACCTCTTGCCGACCCTGTCACCGAGCCTGCAGCCCTGCCGTTCACAGCCACGGGCAAGCTCACCTACTCGCACGGCATGCACCTTAAATACGCCGTCAGTCCCTTCCCTCCCCTCGCCTCCCCTCTCCTCCCCTCACCTTAACCAAATATTGATTTGCCATAGCCGGAAGTGACTCGTGCTGACTGACTCTCAGCTTGACTCAGAAGGTTGATCTCTCAAACGTTGTAGGATTCGTGGAACACCCACACGTGGAAGACTCACACACACTGAGTTGCGTTGCAGCACATCACACGGCATGATGTGGTCCCACGGCACATGCTATGCAACAGTCATTTGCGCTTGCACTTCACTCTCGCCCTGCCAAACACGCCAGGCCCCGAAGTGAATTCCACAAACTAGACCCCCCATAACATCCACCCTCCCTTTCCCCCTCCTGTCTTCTCCTGGCCCAACTCCTCTCACCTCCTGGCAGACGTCAGCATGGGCGACCATGTTTCACGACCTCGACGCTCACATGCACGCTCAGATCGACTATCTCCTCACATCCTCCCATCCGCCCAACCCCTCCGCACCGCTCCCCACCCCTCCGCCTTTCTCCTCATCCCTCCTTGCCACCACCACTGCCTTCTGGGCTGGAGCCCTCGACCCCTCAGACCCCTCCCCTTCCTCCTCCCCCTCCTTCTTCTCCTCCTCTTCCTCCTCTTCCTCTGCCTCTTCCGCCACTCACCCCGCCTCTCCTTGCTTCCCTCCCAGTGCTGCGGCAGCAGCGGGGGCGGCAGTTGCAGTGACGGGGGGTCCGGGGGAGTGCTTTCCGAAGCTGAGGGCGATGGCGCAGGTGCTGCTGCTGCCTAAGGACCTGTTGGCCGACCAGGAGGCGAGGAAAGAGGTGAGGGAATGAGGTTTGGGTGGGGCAGAGTGGGGAAGTGGGGGGCAGGGTGGTTTGAAGACCAGGGAGGATGTGGGTGGGTGGGGCACTGCTGTAGCTGAGGCTATGGCACAGGGCCACATACACCACATGCAGCACATGCAGCACATGCACCACATACACCACATGCACCACATACACCACATGCAGCACATGCACCACATGCACCACATACACCACATGCACCACATACACCACATGCACCACATGCACCACATACACCACATGCACCACATACACCACATGCAGCACATGCACCACATGCACCACATGCACCACATACACCACATGCACCACATGCACCACATACACCACATGCACCACATACACCACATGCACCACATACACCACATGCACCACATGCACCACATGCACCACATGCACCACATGCACCACATGCACCACATGCACCACATGCACCACGCGTATCACACACATCACATGTATCACAATGCATGCTCATATCCATAGATTACATCACGTGCATCACACTTGCAGTTATCAATATATCAAGTGTGTCTGTGTGTACGTGTGCATGTGCGTGTGCAAATCTGATGTGCATGAATGCGTGGTGTGCATGTGTGTGTGCACACATGACAACAGGTATGTGGCGATCTGACTCTGGCCTTGCTGCGGCGCATTCTCCTCATCTTCGCCCCAGACGCCAATGCCCCCGACCCCGTCTCCTCCACCCTGCTACAGCAGCTCAACAGCGAGGTCAGTCATGCCTCTCCATCACGCCATGTCCATCCCTCACAACCACACCTCATTCCCCCCACCTTACTGAATCTCATGTCCCATACCCTTCTTCTCAGGTCCACAGCGAGTCGCGACGGGGCAAAGCCAACCCTTCCACGGACCTCGCCCCACTCCCCGCCACGCCCTACACCCCACCACCCTCGCCATCCATCCGTCTCCTCCTGGGCTCAGTGCGGCTGCTGCACCTATCCCATGCGGGCTCCTCTGGTCTGGCTCTCGACCGCGGGTATGACAGCGACGAGGAGCTGCGGCTTGTAGAGTCCCCCGCTGACCTCCTCGCCCACATGCTGCTTGAGCTTGACAGGGGCGGCAGTGCAGGTGGTGGTGGTGGTGGTGGTGTTGGTGGTGGTGGAGGGGCGAGTGGGAAGGGTGGGGCGGGGAGGGGTGCGATGGCGGGAGGGAAGGCGCGGGTGGTGGGGTACAGGGACGGGTATAAGAGCTCGGGGTACCAGCTGCTGGCGGATATGTGGAGCAGACAGGCTGCTGCTGGCAGTGGCAGTTCTGCCTCCTCCTCACAAGCCTCTGCTGGCAGTGGTGCATGGTAGCAGCAGAGATGTAGGTTACGTGTGACACAGGCACATGGTAACATGGGTGCATATGGCGGGTGGTGAGGCAGAGAGTCAAGAATGCAGAGAGCATTTATGGAAAATCAGATCAGGGAAATTAGGGAAGACCAGGACGAGCTGGCTGGCTGGCCATCCTAAAATCTCCAAGCAAACAGATAGTGTGCTGTCGGTTGCGTTGTTTTACTGGTAGTACCGGTAAATTCAATTTAGTAAGGCCTTCAGTCCTCATACATGTGTTACTGTAGAATGTCTGGTAGTGAAAGTTATGTGGGATAGAAATGTACTACATGCCGTTTCTTTGTTTTGTGATGCCGACATAAGCCATGAAGAAGTCTACACTTGATAATGACTGTGTGATGATAGATGGGAAACTTGCAGCGATGATCCAAAATATTACGGCGGAACCATTTCCTGGACACCTGCTGCAGAAGTCTCCCGCGCAGAACATTCAAAAACTGCGCTTCGTCGGGATACCTAGACCCCAGCCCAGCGCCGTTTAGCGGCTGCTTTGGACTCCATGCTGGTGGCGACAGTCGTCTGATCCCAGTTTCCTCGAGTTACTCCTTCGTCATTTGCTCGCGAAATGTTTGCGCCGTTCTGTGTGGCGGGCGGAGACCAGCGGTACCGTACAAGTACCAGCTCAAATGATTGCCGTCAAAAACTACATCCAGAGGATACGAAACTGGCAGGGATGTTCCTCTGCCAGAAACATATTTGGCAAGAAAGTTCATGTTGATATGGAACCACTGGCTTCTGCTGTATTGGCCTTACACTTACGCCTCCATGACACATGCTACATCGCAGCACTCATAGGTAACACCGTTACTGCCAGTCATGTTCAGCACCGTAGCTGCCGAGCACCAGTACCGTAACTCTTGTTACAGTACTTGTCTCGTTCTCCTGTTAGCGCCTTTCCCCTGGTTGTGCCGGGCGGGCACCTCTAGCACCTCTAGCACCTCTAGCACTGCTTGCATGACTTGCGGCACGACTCGTGCATGTAAGCTGGGTTCTTCTCGCACTCTCCACTCGCCGCCCAGCTCGGACAGCTGCACCCACCACCAGCACCACCAGCACCACCAGCACCACCATACACGCACATGGGGGTGAGACGCACACAGGGCAGTGATGAGCACATGAGCAGAGAAATTGCGATTTGGCACGAGTGCAAGACACGGGTGAGGCAGATGCAATGGTAGTGCATGCATGCACGGCCATGACAGTGCACAGACACAGCGGCACGCATGGAGGCTCATGATGAGGTGTGAAGGCACAAAGAACACATCCCATGCACATGCTCCCAGCCCACACCCACGCACGCTCCTGCACCCACATGCGCACGCTCCCTAACCTCAGAAGGCACGCTCCCTAACCTCAGAAGGCACGCTCCCTAACCTCAGAAGGCACGCTCCCTAACCTCAGAAGGCACGCTCCCTAACCTCAGAAGGCACGCTCCCTAACCTCAGAAGGCACGCTCCCTAACCTCAGAAGGCACGCTCCCTAACCTCAGAAGGCACGCTCCCTAACCTCAGAAGGCACGCTCCCTAACCTCAGAAGGCACGCTCCCTAACCTCAGAAGGCACGCTCCCTAACCTCAGAAGGCACGCTCCCTAACCTCAGAAGGCACGCTCCCTAACCTCAGAAGGCACGCTCCCTAACCTCAGAAGGCACGCTCCCTAACCTCAGAAGGCACGCTCCCTAACCTCAGAAGGCACGCTCCCTAACCTCAGAAGGCACGCTCCCTAACCTCAGAAGGCACGCTCCCTAACCTCAGAAGGCACGCTCCCTAACCTCAGAAGGCACGCTCCCTAACCTCAGAAGGCACGCTCCCTAACCTCAGAAGGCACGCTCCCTAACCTCAGAAGGCACGCTCCCTAACCTCAGAAGGCACGCTCCCTAACCTCAGAAGGCACGCTCCCTAACCTCAGAAGGCACGCTCCCTAACCTCAGAAGGCACGCTCCCTAACCTCAGAAGGCACGCTCCCTAACCTCAGAAGGCACGCTCCCTAACCTCAGAAGGCACGCTCCCTAACCTCAGAAGGCACGCTCCCTAACCTCAGAAGGCACGCTCCCTAACCTCAGAAGGCACGCTCCCCCACCCACTCACAATGCCCACACCCCTGGCCACTCACAAGGCATTGGCATCAATGCACCCCGAAAGCACCCCCTGCCCGCCGCCCGCCATGTCAGCCAAGCCCACGCCGCCCGACGGGCCCGAGTAGGCCTTGCTGAAGTCTGCGACGTGGATCCACTTGGGCGCGGACCACTTGACCCCCTCCACCACGGGGCACGCGTAGTGCAGCGACGAGGGGTCGGGCGAGCCGTCGGGATGCATGCTGTAGAACAGTAGCGCGTCGCCTTTAGAGGGATTCACTGACGGGTGGGCAAAGAGGGTGGAGGGGCAAGTGGAAGGCGTGAGAGGCAAGCGGAGAGGCGTGAAGCGCATGACAGGGTGGGGAGGTGGGGGTTAAAGGAAGGGTGCGGATGTTAGGATGAATGTGGCAACAGCCACTTCTTTACACACCCCTCTGCCTCACTTGTGTATTCTCCTCCATTCATCTCTACCCCGCCCCATCTCCCGCTCCACACCCCCGTTGAATCTGATTCCCCCTTTGCCCTGCCCCAGCGCCTGCTCTCTGCCCCCCCAAAATCTGCCTCCTCCATCCCCCACGCCTGCTTCTCCATCCCCCACGCCTGCCTCCTCCATCCCCCACGCCTGCTTCTCCATCCCCCACGCCTGCTCCCTACGGCCCCCCTCCTACTCCCATCCTTGTGCACCTCACCCCCTTCTGCTGCCCCTTCAACCCCCACTTCCCCAGCGAGCTACCCCTAGGTGCAGTGCGACTGCTCAGCCGGCTCAACAGTCCCCAGCCCCATACCTCCTCCCCCCCCTCCCCCCCCTCTTCACCAGCGAGCTTCCCCTTTCCCCGACCATCCCCCCTGCTCCTCAAGCGAGCTTTCCCACCCCCACCCTCCCCCCCCCCCCACCCCCCTCACCAGCGAGTTTCCCCTTGGCGCATTCAGTCCACGAGTCGTCTTTGGGCGAGGGGTCGTCGGCGGTGGGGAACACCGTCTCCCCTCCTTTGGTGACGTTGTTGAGGTACATGAGCACCGTGGCGTACCGGTGCCCACCGCGCTTGCGGTTGTTGGGGTCGTGGAAATAGTCCACATGCGGCTCGTACTTCTGCCCCTTCTCGTACCGTAGCACCTGGTGGGGTGGGGGGTGGGGGGTGGGGGGAAGGGGGACGGGGGTGTGAGTGTGGGCTCTTGAGGCGCCTCACAGGGAATAGTCCACGTGCGGCTCGTACTTCTGCCCCTTCTCGTACCGCAGCACCTGGTGGGAGGGGGGTGGAGTTGAAGGGGAAGGGGATATGAGCAATAAAGAGGGCTGTTGAAGCGCCTCACAGGGAATAGTCCTCCTGCGGCTCGTAATTCTGCCCTTTCTCGTACCGCAGCACCTGGAGGGTGCGGAGATGGGGGGGATGGGGAGGACTTTAGAGGCGAGTAAATCAGGCGCGGGTCGTACTCCTGACCCGGCTCGTATCGCAGCTGCTGTTATTGGGGTGGGGAGACGGCGGCGAGGGACAGCGGGGAGAATCCGTGGGGGAGGATGGATGGCGGGTCAATCAGTGCGACAGTGATACCATCTTACACGGCCTTCGCCTTCCTCGCCTAAAAACACAGCTTGCCGCATTCCTCGCTTTCCTCACAGTCCTCGCTCACGCCGTGCGTTGCTCGCATCCTCGCACCTCCCCAGCATTCCCTCCCTCTCCCCCCCCCCCATTCCTTTTTCCCCGCGTCGCACCTGCATGGCCTCCTGGTTGGGGAGCGGCAGGAAGGTCCACTCTGCGATGCGCGCCTCGATGCGCGCGATGACCGCATCCTCCGCGACGGCGATGAACATGCCGCTGCTCGTGCGGATCGAGCTCAGCTCGCTGTGCCCGTCCGTGTTGTCCGCCACCGACGACCTGCGCGGTGCACGCGGGAGAAATTGAGAGGCGGGGGAGGGGGAGAGAGGGGTGCGGACGGCAGAGAGTAAGGGGATGCGCTCAACTCGCTGTGCCCGCCCGTGTTGTCCGCCACGGACGACCTGCGCGGGAAGGGGGTAGAGGGGAGGGAGGGGATGGGTGGGCGACGGCAAAGAGTAAGGGGTTGTCGCCCCTTACTCTTTGCCGTCGCTCAACTCGCCGTGCCCGCCCACTTTTGCGAGTTCTCATAAGTGCCCCTCCGTGTTGTCCGCCACTGACGACTCGCGCGGCACACGTGGCAGGGGCAAACGGGGGAGCGGACGGCACTAAGTGCGGAGACGAATCGGACGCCATTTCATTACACTGTCGCACGGAGCGTCGTACCGCTGGAGGCGCGGTGTGGCGATTTTGATGATGTGGTCGCACTCGTCGTCCGTGAGGAAGTTCCGGTAGAGGTACGCGCGCGGCTTCCACGCCGACAGCTGCACTATCCGGCTGAAGTCGATCCCCCTCGCGCGCGCGCCGTCATCCTGCGCGCACGCAGCAGCACGGAGCACGCAATTGCTGATCGGCGGGAGCGCGAGAGGTGACTAATCGGCTAACAGTGCGTCGTGGGACTTCCGCAAGGTTACTGACGAGCACATATACATCGGCGCGCAACAAAGACACAGGTCGCGAAATCTGCTCACCGTGGTTCGACGAATGGTGCGCTTCTGAGCGAGCGATGCACCGATGAGATTTTTTATTTGCGGGAGCGCGTCGACCATAGCAGAGAACGCTAATAGGTAGAGCACCGCTACATACGGAAGGTGTACACATGATATCCGCGCCATTGTAGTTAGTCCTACGAGACGCGTGGAATTATTCCTGGAAGTACTACGATTGAAACTAATCTGCTGTAGCTCGCGTGTTGAACTTGTGTGAGGAATTTCGACTTCTTGTAACGCCACTGATAACTGCGATGATTGTGTAGACACTGCCAAGAGGAAGCCACCTCTCGTTAGCCACAATGGAGTAAAGGGAAAAACAGTGACTTTAATTACCAATTATTCTCGACGTACTGAAATGCTGGAAAAGCTGAGAATGCATGTTTAGTATGCAACGTGACGAGTAAGATATGAAAGCTCAAGTGATAGGAGCAGCATGGTATTTTCTGTCCCTCACTTATCTCAGCTCCTAATCCACACCACCACACCATACCAGCACACCGCACCCCACCATAGCACTCCAGTACGGTATCTCGCTGAGTGAGACTGCAGCAAACTGAGGTGACCTGACGAGGTTCGGCTCGGCATGCCTGTGCAAGGCGGTTTCGTCAGGTCAGGTCTGTTGCACTGACCAGTCAAAGCGCGGCGTCAGGCACTGTTTCTGGTACTGTATGCAGATAGGTTTGGTTCGGGCGAAGGCTCTGCTGAGGGGCGGGATTTGGCTTGGCAAATGTGTGTTGTGTGTTGGGACTCCACGCACCAAAAATGAAACCGCGAGGACAGCGCATGACAGATTGACGGCTTCGATCAGTTCCATTTCCTCCTCCAAACGTGAGTAACGTGGCTGTGACGTGTTTTGTGCCCAAAGTACCAACTTCGCTATACAGCGCATTCAACTCGACAGCGAATGAAGCTATCGCGTCGCGCATCGACGATCACTCGGGAGCCACTTGGTTTGGGCGCTTTTCTCCCAGGGCGCGTCGCGCATTTGCACCGCTGGCAGCAATGTTCCAGCACAGCAAAGAAAAATCACCTCCAGAATGGCTTGCCTCGAGATAAGTTTCTAACAACCACCTCCGAACCAGATCTTTGAGCTCGGTTCAGTCAAAACAAACGAGGCGCCAAACCTACAAACAGTTCCGCTTTCTCCTAGTCTTTCGGACTTTTCAATCAAGGCGAGTGGCCAGTCGATCGTTTTCAATGCCATTAGTTTTTAGTCCACACCACATGTATACTCGCGTACCTTATAGAGACACTGCATGTGCTGCTAATCTTCCAGTCTTCTACACTTCAAAAAGCGCCACTAAGATTTGGCTCCACAGGTCTTGCCACGCACACACAACGTAGCATAATACCTTCCCTACGAACCGCGTCAGCCCCCCTTCCGCTGGTATGCGACGTTTAGACAGGAAAATGCAGCCAGCGTGGGTCGCCTACCTAGCCCTCCACGTCATCGTCTTATCTCTCCTACCCACCCTCCTCGTGCGTGCGGGCGACGTCCCCGGCGAGGCGGAGTCGTTGCCAGGATGGAAGGGCGCCACCTACGTCCTACCGCCAGGACTTCGGGTAACTAATTCCGCCACAGTCATCAACCGACTCAATTAGTGCTTTATCCTTCCCCCAGCTGTCCCACTAATAGCGACAATAATCTCCGTGGCGGGTGCGTATGCAGGGACGGGAGAGGGACGCGGAGAATGAGAGCCCTGAGCTGCCGGAAGCCGGTCTCGCGCAGGGAGATCAGCAACGGAGGCGGCGGACGGAAACTGAAACGCAACCGCAGGCAACTGAGCAGTTGGGTCAAGGTGACTCTAACGGGGGAGGAGACTCTAGCGGGCGCGCGATTATTCAGCTATCGGCGGACGAGCCGCGCGCGTATCTGTTCAAGCGGTTCCTGACGGACGAAGAATGCGATCACATCATCTCTCTCGCCGAGCCCTCGCTCGAAAGGTGCCACCACGGTCGTTTAGATTTTGACTGATTTGCCCATTATAGTCCAATTGGCGTCCAATGACGCTACCACGACAGCCGCACCGGGATAGCAGCACCGTGGGGGATGAAAGGTCTCAGTTTCTCCCTCTTTCCTCCTCCGTGCGTTCTCCTTCCCCTCTCAACCGTCCCTCAGATCGACGGTGATTGCGGCGGCGAGCAGCGGCAGCGAGGTGAGCGACATTCGCACGAGTTTCGGGACGTTCATCGACAAGGGCGCGGACGACGTGATTGCGCGCGTCGAACGGCGCATCGAGGCGTGGACGCACCTGCCCGTGTCGCACCAGGAGGCGCTGCAGGTGAGCTGTGGGCGGGAGAGGGAACCACGGGAGAGCTGGAGCAGGAGAAGGTAGGCCGCGGGGAATGAGCGGCAAGAGGAAGGAATCAATAGCGTCCCAGATCGAGCACGGGCGATGGAAACTCAACCACCCACTTCATCAACCCGTCCCCCTGCTCCGCCGCTCCCCCGCTTGCCCCACTTCTTCCCCATATCGCTCCTTCACCCACCGCTTCAATGTCATAGAAAAATGGATCACAACAAAGGATGCGGTGCAAGCCCCACAAATTCCCCTCCTCCTTGCCTTCCCCTCACCCCTGACGTCCCCACCATTCGTCCTTCCATCGCTCCCCTGCATGTCTTGCAGTCAACCATAGGGCAGCCAGCAGTCAATTATAAGCAGAAGCATGGGCAGAAGTAAAGGCAAAAGCATGTGCCGCACGCTGACATACTTTCCATTAACCCCATGTCCATCCCGCCCTCCCTCTGCTCACCGTTCCCGCGTCCCCCCCCCACCCATCAGGTGCTGAGATACAACGTGGGGCAGAAGTTCGTCCCTCAACACGATTGCTTCCCCAACCCGCCCATCCACCCCACCCTTCATCCGCTCATCCTTTCCCCTTCCCACCCCCTCTCCCTCTCCTTCATCAGGTGCTGAGGTACAATGTGGGCCAGAAATACGACCCTTACCACAACTACTTCCTTGGAACCCCATGAATCCTCCCTTCTCATCCCTTCCCCTTCCCCTTCCACCCCCCTCTCATCAGGTGCTGCGGTACAATGTGGGGCAGAAGTACGTGCCTCACCACGACTACTTCTCCGACCCACCGGAGACGCTGCAGGGTGGGCAGAGGCTGGCAACCGTGCTCATGTACCTCAGCAACGTGACCCTTGGAGGGGAAACCGTCTTCTCCAACGTCCCCGACCCCACTCCCAAGGACCATTCTTGGTCCGATTGTGCCAAGGGTTACCTGGCAGTCAAGCCTGTAAAAGGGGATGCGTTGCTGTTCTTTAGTATGCACCCGGATGGGACCCCGGATGAGGCGAGTATGCACTATGCGTGCCCGGTGGTGGAGGGGGTGAAGTGGTCGGCACCCAAGTGGATTCACGTGAGGGAGTTTGATGTGCCTGGGGAGGAGGCTGATCCGAACGTGTGTGCGGATACAAATCGGATGTGTGCAGAGTGGGCGGCGGCGGGGGAGTGTGAGAAGAACAGCAAGTACATGGTTGGGGGGAAGAGGTTCGTTGGGGCGTGCAGGAAGGCGTGTGGAGTGTGTACAGCAGACAGCACCAATGGGACTGCTGCTGGCGGCGAGGCTGTTCAAACGGCTGAACTGTAGGATGTGATGTGACATAGTATTCTTCTGAATTGTAGGCGGCCGGCTGTGGGCCCTCAATCAGCCTTCCAAACGAAGGTGCTATATGAAAATCTTGTACAGTATTGGCATAGGTTGAATTGAACGCAAATTGCTTACTGCAACTTGTCACCAAGTGCCACACCCCTAGCATATCATCATTGCACCTCAAAACAAGAAGCTGACTTGACTTTACAGATGGAGGCCTTATGTTCAAGATGCTCCTGAAGGGTCTGCTGCAGAGGTGCTCAGGCCGCTCAGGGCGTTTTCTGAAGAATCTTTTGGATACCGCCGTAGATGAGCAGAGCAGTGGTGGGAGCATAGCAGAGCCTTGATGCACGACGCCTCTAGTAGGTGAGGACGGAGTTGCGGGCAGCCAGGAACTTGTCAAGCCTGTCCCAGAAGGTGAGCGCTGCCGTGCGGTCCTGATGCCTCTTGTACTTGCTTATCTGAGAGGTGCGGAGGGGTTGGAGAGGAGTGGAGAGGAGTGGACGAAAGGGAGATGGTAGGGGGGTTGAGGGGAAAGGAGATAGGAAAGGAGCAAGTGTGCGTACAGGCAGAGAGGTGTGGTGTGGGCCGTACATATAATGAGATTGCATGGAGTATGGCATGAGACGGCAAGGACGGATGACGTGAAGGGCATGGGTGGGGTAAGTGATGTGTGGTTTAGGTGTAGGGTGTGTGTGTGGATGCTTACAGCGAGGATGCTGCAGTTCCAATTCTTCACTGTTGCTGCTGACTCCACACTGTCATCCTCAAAGCGCACAAACACCCCCATCACTGCACGCATCGTGTCCACATGCACACATGCATTGCCACACACACATGCATTGCCACACACACATGCATTGCCACACACACATGCATCCTCACACATGCACACACAGACACAGATACATGCAAAAATGGAACATGAGGAGCAGCAAGAGCCAAGTGAGCACACCACAAGCACGCGACCACCAACAGTGAAAGCTTCAGTCAACGAACCCAACCATGCAGGCGGACATGCAAAGAGTCAGTATCAGGGCAGCCTTCATACGAGAAGGAAATAGTGAGAGAGCTTCCGCATGTGGGCCACATAGGGGCGCACCTTTGGAGAGGATGTCGACGTGGTCCTTGAAGGGCCACCCCTTGAACTGCCACTCCTTGCCCAACACAAACACCGCTGCCACCCGGTCCCAGTCCTGCTCAGGTGGGGCATGCGGGACACGGGGGCAGGCCGTGGTGCACATGGGGGCAGGCCGTGGTGCACATGGGGGCATGAAGATGAATGACAGTCGCACACCCACCAGCACTGCATGGCACGCTGTGAGAAGGCTGAGGCAAGGGGGTTGACGAACAACCGAGCTTTGGAGAAAACCAGCAGCCATACACGTGTCGCGCTCTAACCAATAATAACCCTCACAAGCACAACACGAAGAGCACTGCGTGGAACCACGCACCCGTTTCGTCAGCCCCTCGGGCCGGTCCCTCACGTGGTATACCACCGCCTTGTCCCGTCCCATCCGCCGCTGCACCGCCACCATCTCTGCCCGCTTCCCCCCCGCCGCTTTCGCCTTCTCCTCTGCAGGCACGTACGCACCGTCCTCTAGGAACTCCTTCACGTTGAAGATGTTTATCAGCGTCTGTGCTGCGCTGGGCACCAAAATTATCGGCACCAGGCTCCCTCCTGCCGCTGCTGCTGCGCTGCCAATACCGCTGCTGCCAGAGCTGCTGTGCTGTCTGTGTTGGGATTGGTGGGCCGGGTTGCCTTGAGGCCGCGCGTGGCGGGAGGATGGAGGCAGGTTGGACGGCTGAGATCGGCCGTGCTGGCCCTCTGGTTTCCCCTGGGGGGCGACAACTAGAGCACCTGACCCACTGCCACCAGCAGCAGCAGCACCACTACCAGCAGCACCACTGCCCCCCCCTCTGCCGGGCTGCACGTACGAGGACTGGGTGGGGTTGATCCCCAGCTCCTCCAGTGCATCTGTCCCCATGTAGTCCCGCCACACCTGCCTCTCGTCCTGCCGCCCCCCTCCCCCTCCCCCTCCACCCCCTGCACCACCATTCGCGCCCGCGCCTCCTCCCCGAGCGTCTCTGGATGGGCGCGCGGAGGAGGAGGGGGCAGGCGGGTGGCCGCGTTTGGAGGCCTCCCGGTGCGCCACGTCCAGCTTCTTGCGCTCGTGCTCGCGCCGGTTCAGCATGGCCAGCACCGACGCAAACGCGTCCTTCTTGCGAGGGCACAGCAGCACCGTCTCCCGGTCCCTCACCGGCCTCTCTCGCTTGATCAGCTCTCTGATCGCCTCCCTCTCCTCCTCCTCGCTCATCCCCCCGCCTCCCAGACCCACCCCTCCTACAGTCACTCCTGCAGCGGCCATCCCAGGGACAGCTTCTGAGTGATAGGCCATGCCTCTTCCCGTGCCTAGGCCTGCCTGCGATCCTTCTCCCCTCTGCCTCTTGCCGTACACGTCATATCCCCCCGCTCCCCCGCCGTCTGCTCCTGCTGCTCCCGCCTCTCCTCCAGCCCCACTGGCCCTTTTGTCCGTATCCCATCTGCTCCTCTTCCGAGCCTGATCCCCAGCCTCGGCTGCTCCCAAACCTCCTGGCCCCGTGGCACCGTCTACCGCTGCTGATGTGAAGCCATGCGCGCCTTGCCCTAAGGCGCCAGGAGCTGAAGGCGTGGCGGCGCCGGAAGAGGGGATGGACGCGGGGGGCGCGGCGGAAGGCGGAGCGGAGGGGGGAAGGCCGATAGGCGCGATGAGATCGATGGCGTCCGTCGTCTGCAGATGGCCTTCCAGATACTCCTGGCACGGCGGAGAAGGGGGGAAGCGGGAAAGGGGGAGGGCAGAGAGGGGGAAAGGGGAAAACTCTTGAGTCGACTCAAATCCAGAAACTCCTGGAACGGGGGAGAGGAGGGGGGAGGGGGAAAGGGGGAGGGCAGAGAGGGGGAGTGGAGGGAGGTGGAGGGTGGGGGTGAGGGGAAATGTGGAGCTCAGCCGGAGACAGGCGGTCGAACGATCCTTTATCGGACGAATCCCAGCGGTAGTAGGCAGGAAATGTGAGAATTCGAGATGCGTGGAAACCGCGAGGGAGAGAAGGGAAGGACGAGGCGGGCACACCAGGAGCGGCTTGCGATCCGTGAAAGTGACGATCTGCAGGGTTTGCGCGCGCGCTCGTTGCATGTATTCCGTGTGCTTCACCGCCTTGCACTGTACGAACAGCAGCAGCGACTCCAGGTTGTAACGGTCACCGCCGCGCCGCCGGTACGCCGTTTCGACGGCGCGCGGGAAGCGGTACTCATTGCCGAAACAACAGTCGTCGCCGACGATGGTAACCCTATCCAGCTCGTTTCGCATGGTGTATTCACGCAAAACCGACAAAGGATCCATGTTGTCTTATTGTAGATAGATCAATGGAACAACCTATTCGGCCTATAAGTCCCAAGAAGACAGGACAGAGCACCGACTGGATTACGAGAAGGCGGCGACGAAACTGGCTTACCCGTAACACCCAGTATCAGGATCAGGAGTCAATCATCTACGACCTTTTTGCTACCTAGTACCTACGCTAGAACGACTGGGAAGGAGTGATGAGATGACTACGGAGAGGGTTTGGGATTGGAATTGAAATGACGGGAGCAGGGGAGGGGGGGATGAGTGGTGGTATGGGGTTAGAGAGGGTGAGGATGGGTGAGAGTAACCTTGGGATGTGGTTTCCCTGCCATAGCTGAAGTTGGCGAACCTCGCACGTCCTCGCACAAATCGTACACGGTCCACCATATACCTTCAGCAGTGAATCGAGGCTTTTGCTCGACGCCATGCTCTCAGAACTTTCTCGTTTCACAGCCCAGATCGGCGTGTCCTTCACATCGCACGTTATTGAACGTATCGTTTCTTGTTCCGCAGCGTTCTTTCCGATTGTGCAAAGCTCGATCGCGCCAAAGGTGACTGGCCGTTAGCTACTGCAGACGAAACATCCGTTTTCCAAAGAAGTCCCGCACGGGCTTTTTTTAGTAGCGGTATGGCTACAGAGGCGACTCGCGAGGTGAGCACTCGAAAAGCGTCTTGAAACCCACTAGACGTCGTGTTGAGTAAACTCTAGGATGTCGTATCTTTGGCAGTCACTGATAGGCAGATTCGCCATCTCGCGTTATCCTGGCATCTCTGATCTGCTCCGCGTCGTATGGATGTGTTATTGTGCGCCGTTCCATCCGCTCCCAGTTCGTCATTGCTCTCTCACCCGCTCCTCGCACCCACTCCTCTCCCCGCCAAGCTCAGCGTAACCGTCCCATTCTAATTCCGTGGTATCCTCCCTTCCTCTCCATCCATCCCTCCCTGCTCATCCGCTCCCCGTCGAACATCTCCCGTCGGCAACCCTCTTCACATCGCCATCGCTTATGTATCCCTACCTCTTGCAACTGCCACCTCTCATTCGTCAACATTCCTTGAATTCAGGCGTTCGTGGAGCTGCAAGGGCGACTCGTGGAGACGGACAGCAAGCTGAAGCAGGTGAGCGTGGGGGCGGGATGTGCAGGGCAGGTGGCAGAAGCAGGTGGGATGGAATGCAGCAGCGAAGGTGGGGGCATTTGGAATTGGGTGTGGCAAGAGAAGGGAAGAGGGGGGGATGTTGTTGCAGGTTGGGGTTGTGGGTGAGTGTTTCTATGTGTACGATCACGCATCAAGCGGCGCACATATACCCAATGGCGTTCCACCCAGTGCTGCTCTCTCTCATCACTCTTCATCTCTATCTATCCTCGCTCAGGTGCTAGGGCAGGAGAAGGCGTGCGAGGTGGACGTTTTCACGGCCAGAACGACCCTGGACGAGCTTCAAGAGCTGTCCGCGGAAACAAATGTGTACCAGAGCATCGGTGAGTGTGAGCAGAGGCAGTGCAGCGGTGTGGAGAAGCCAAGACGGTTTAGATTAGCCGTGAGACAAGAATAGCTTCAGTTTTGAGGATTTCTCCTTCTTTCCGATCCTTCTCATTTCTCCTCTTTCCCTGCCCCGTTTGGTTGCTCCCTCGTGCATGGTACCCACTCGGTGCATGTGGACTTTCTCGTCCGGTGTTGCATCAACCCGTGAAATTCCTCCTTCTCCATCGATAATCTCAGGAAGAGCGTAAGTCAGCATAGGGATTCACGACTTGTTGCACGTGACTCTACCTCTTTTCCTCCACCCCTCTATTCCACCCTGCTCCTCTTCTTGCTCCTCTCACTACGAGCTCAGTCTCATGTCTCTACCTCGCCGCAATGTTGTCGCTTTTGGGCAGTGCATGCAGGCCCCGGCCTTGCACACCCCCCGGCATTTAGCATGCCATTCAGACAGGCACTTGGACATTGCATCTCTTTCGTCCAGTCAGCAGCATATCCGCATGCTCCCACTGGCTGACCCCATGACCAGGTTTGTTCTGCAGCCACTAGAAGAGGCGAGGGCAACGGAGGAGGGGAAGATCAAGGAGGCCGAGGCCACCATCGCGTCTCTGCAGGTCTGCCCTCCCAAGTGTTTACCCTCCCACGCCCTTCACTCCCACACCCTTCACGCTGGTCTGTCAGCTCCTCATGACGCCTCACATTCCCTACATTCCCGACTTGCCCCCACATTGAGATGGCGTCGTGCCTTTCCTGCTTCCTCGGTGTATGTGCGGTGCAGGGATCAAAGAAGTATCTGGAGAAGCAGATGAGGGAGGTGCAGAGCAACTTCAAGGAGCTCATGGAGCAACTGCCAGCGTCCATTCCTGGCCTCACACAAGCCATCAATGGCTGACAGGGGTAGCAGCACTTGTGTAGATACATGTGGCATTATTGTGTCGTCTTGAAGATGAGAAGGGTGCGTTGGCTTAACAATTTGTACTTCAGGACGGATTTGATTATCAGGTGCAAATCTCTGACAACAATGTGCAGTCCCTCCAGCTCTTTGTTAGGCGAGGCTGTTCGCGCAGCAACAGCTACATATTCCAACAGGAATGCACAAGGTTATATATATTACCAGCAATCTAAATCCTCCTCTTGCACAGCACTAAGCCTCGCACGTGGCTGTGAGGCGGGCAATCACATGTGACAGCACTTCCTTCTTTGAAAGCCTGTAAGCCAAAGCCGCCTCCCAATCCGGCAGCTCGCGCACAAACTCAGGCGGGCACATGAGCGGCTTGTCGCCGGGGTAGGCCCCGTACAGCACCTGCACCTTGCACGCCTGCACCACGAGCATGCGCTGTAAATCCCCCTCACGTGTCGTCCCCATGGCCTTCAGCATCTGTTTCGCGCGCTCGAGAATGCCCGTGCCGGCTGCGGGGATGGCGTCCCCGAGGTTGTCGGGGAGCGAGGCGGCGTAGTCATCGCACGTGGTCTTGGGTTCCTTGAGCCAGCTATACTCCACTGCTGGCCGCGCCAGTGCGGCATAGTCAGGGGCTGTGGGGTACAGGAGAGGATGAGAGGAAGAGAGAAGGGTGAGAGATGTATGGAGAGGCAGTGTGTCGTCACACGTGGACTTGGGGTCGCGCAGCCAGCTGTACTCCACTGCTGGCCGCACCAGCTCTGAGTACTTGGGGGCTGCGGGGGAGAGGAGAGGAGAAGACAGGTGGAGAGAGGCGAAGGCAGGGGAAGAGAGAAGGGTGAGAGATGTAGGGAGAGGCAGCGTAGTCGTCGCACGTGGTCTTGGGGTCCCGCGGCCAGCTGTAGTCCACTGCTGGCCGCACTAGCGCTGCGTAGTCAGGGGCTGTGGGGGAGAGGAGAAGGCAGCGGAAGGGAGGAGAAAACAGGGTAAGAGAGATGGGTGAGAGACGTAGGGAGCGGCAGTGTAGTCGTGACACATTGCCTTGGGGTGCTGCAGCCAGCTGTACTCCACCTCTAGCCCCGCCAGAGGCGCGTAGTTGGGGGCTGCGGGGAGAGAAGGCAGGGAAAGGGAGGTGAATGCAGGGGAAGAGAGAAGGGTGAGAGATGTAGGGAGAGGCGGCATAGTTGTCACATGTGGTCTTGGGGTCCCGTAGACGACGAGAGAAGGGGTGAGGAAGAGAGAGAGGGAGAGGAAGAGAGAGGGGGAGAGGAAGAGAGAGGGGGAGAGGAAGAGAGAGGGGGAGATGAAGAGACTGTGGGAGAGAAAGAGGGAAAGAAGGGTCACTGATGTAAGGAGAGAGGAGTTAGGTGACGGGCAGCAGGAATGCAGTAGAGGAGGCAGTGAGCTGTGCACTTCCACTCTGCGAGCCATGTAATCGCAGTCCGAGGTTGGAAAGGAGGTAGATGAGGGGGGTAGAAGAGGAGGGAAGGGAGGCATGTGACGAATCTTGAGGCGCCTCAAAAGGCGGATGAGGAAAGGGAGGCATGTGACGAATCTTGAGGCGCCTCAAAAGGCGGATGAGGAAAGGGAGGCATGTGACGAATCTTGAGGCGCCTCAAAAGGCGGATGAGGAAAGGGAGGCATGTGACGAATCTTGAGGCGCCTCAAAAGGCGGATGAGGAAAGGGAGGCATGTGACGAATCTTGAGGCGCCTCAAAAGGCGGATGAGGAAAGGGAGGCATGTGACGAATCTTGAGGCGCCTCAAAAGGCGGATGAGGAAAGGGAGGCATGTGACGAATCTTGAGGCGCCTCAAAAGGCGGATGAGGAAAGGGAGGCATGTGACGAATCTTGAGGCGCCTCAAAAGGCGGATGAGGAAAGGGAGGCATGTGACGAATCTTGAGGCGCCTCAAAAGGCGGATGAGGAAAGGGAGGCATGTGACGAATCTTGAGGCGCCTCAAAAGGCGGATGAGGAAAGGGAGGCATGTGACGAATCTTGAGGCGCCTCAAAAGGCGGATGAGGAAAGGGAGGCATGTGACGAATCTTGGGGCGCCTCAAAAGGCGGATGAGGAAAGGGAGGCATGTGACGAATCTTGAGGCGCCTCAAAAGGCGGATGAGGAAAGGGAGGCATGTGACGAATCTCACCTTCCTTGTTCATCACGTGCGCATGGAGGGCTGCCAAACCTCCCAGCAGCCTCGGATCGAGCCTCCCGCCGAACCAAACTCTTAGGCTCGCCTGTGTGTCAATCCTGAACTCTGGCTCGTCCGGCATGCCCTTGTACCGATCCTTGGTCACCTCGGCCTTGAGCGCCTTTTCCATGTCAACAAACACCTGCTCCACGTCAGTCTGCATGCATGCCACGTGGAGGGAGAGGGAGGATACCATGAGATATGCATTCAGGCAGAAAGGGACAGGTGGAGAAAATGTCTGGAAGGGCAAGGAACAAGAGAGAGAAAGTACACATGTGGACAGCGCCGTATCCACCAAGTGAACGCCAAAACCCTAGACCCCATATCTCCATGATTTCCCATGGACCATACCTCCACTCCATGCACCATACCTCCACTCCATGCACCATACCTCCTCACTCTCTTCCCCCTCACTTCATTTCCCCTCACTTGTATTCCCCCTCACTAAATTTCCCCTCACTTCCATTCCCCCTCATCCCTGTCCCCCTCACTTTGTTTCCCCTCACTTCCATTTCCCCTCACTCTTTTTCCCCTCACTTCTGTTCCCTCTCACTCTATTCCCCCTCACTATTTCCCCTCACTAATACAGCCCTTCACTCTATTTCCCTTCACTTCCATTCCCTCTCACATATATTTCCCCTCACTCATTTTCCCCTCACTTTCATTACATCACTCCATTCCCCCTCACTTCAATTCCCCTCACTTCCATACCCCCTCACTCTCTTCCCCCTCACTTCATTTCCCATCAATTGTATTCCCCCTCAATAAATTTCCCCTCACTTCCATTCCCCCTCATCCCTGTCCCCCTCACTTTGTTTCCCCTCACTTCCATCCCCCCTCACTCTCTTCCCCCTCACTTCATTTCCCCTCACTAATACATGCACCATACCTCCACTCCATGCACCCCAGCACCATACCTCCATGAACCATTCCCAGTGCGTTCTGAAGTAGTGTCGGTCGAAGAAGTAAAAAATGTCCACGCTGTCACGGTAGTTGGTGGCCAGCGCCATGCCCCCCCCTGCCATACCTGCACGCCCCCCAGCACCGTACCTCCATGAACGACTCCCAGTGGGTCCTGAAATAATGTCGGCCGAAGAAGTCGATGGCGACCTCGGGGTATTCGAAAATGTCCACGCTGTCACGGTAGTTGGTCACCAACGCCATGCCGCGGGTCAGCAGCGCCTCATCGTTTGCCAGCAGCCCGGACTCCACACTCACGTGCTGGCCGTGGGAGATGTTGGCCGTGGCCGTGAATGTGATGTGCGTGCCATTGGCCTGGTGGTGGGTTGAGGAGGGGAGGAGGGGAAGAGGGGAGGAGGGGAGGAGGGGAGGAGGGGAGGAGGGGGTGAAGGAGGAGGGATGAGGGGACTTTAGAGAGGACTCTTGAGTCACCTCTGGGAGTTGTTGGCCGTGGCCGTGAATGTAACGTGTGTGCTGTGGAGAAGGTAGACGGGATGGGGGGGATGAGGGAGAGAGTAGAGGAGAAGAGGGCTTAGGGAACGCGCAATAGCAAGGTGATGAGGAGGACCACGGCTGTGGTAGTGATTGCAGGACGAGATGAGAAGCGTAAGGAGTGGAGGCGTGGTGAATGGGAAATACTGACCCGCTGAGTGGCAACTCATAACGGCTTGCTCACGCCACCCACCTGCCACATGGCGACGGGCGCGTTGTCAGTGTCAAAGAGGTCCGCGTAGGGAAAGAGCACTGTTTCAGTGGCGTTGCTAGCGCCACTGCTGCTGCTGCCACCATTGCCATCACCGCTGGCAGAGTCATCACTGCTGGCAGTGCTGTTGCTTGTACGGAGTGTGAACATACGCGACGTGACCATGCCCACCGCCCACAGGAACTCCTCCTCTGCTGCACTCGCTATGGCATCTGGCCGGCACTTTTTGTACTCTTCTGAAAGCATCCGCCTGTGCTCTGCGGTCTGTGGCACACGTTGCAGAGAAGAGATTGAGATAGGCTTGGGTGAGGCACAACTGAGGAGACATGGCTTGGGTGAGGCACAACTGAGGAGACATGGCTTGGGTGAGGCACAACTGAGGAGACATGGCTTGGGTGAGGCACAACTGAGGAGACATGGCTTGGGTGAGGCACAACTGAGGAGACATGGCTTGGGTGAGGCACAACTGAGGAGACATGGCTTGGGTGAGGCACAACTGAGGAGACATGGCTTGGGTGAGGCACAACTGAGGAGACATGGCTTGGGTGAGGCACAACTGAGGAGACATGGCTTGGGTGAGGCACAACTGAGGAGACATGGCTTGGGTGAGGCACAACTGAGGAGACATGGCTTGGTTGAGATGGAATCGGGGACAAGGGCTTGGGTGGGACAGACAGACTCACCACATGACACGCACAGCATCAGAGAGATGATTTCGATGGATTCAACACAGAAGGAGACAGGGCAGGGGTTGGGAGTTGATGCTCACAGCTAAGAGCAAAGATTGTGATTGGAGCTCCGTGCGGAGGCGGTCGGAGAAGAGGTGGGGGAAGGGCAGGTGCGCGGGCAACAGGCGCACGAAGGGCGCCCACAGGGACGCGCGCCCCTTGGCTCGCTCCCTCAACACCCACGCCGCCAGCGCCGTGAACGGGTGCACCTGGAGAGGGGGGGGGGGGAGGAGGAGGTGGGGAAGGGCAGAGATGTTGAGGGGAGGGGAATGGCCGCCAGCGCCGTGAACGCATGCACCTGGGGGGGTGGGGGGTGGGAGAATGGTGATGCACCTGGCGGTGTGTGCGGGGAGGAGGGGGTGATGGGCGGATTTGTGTGTAGGGGGGATGAAAACGGTGACTGGAGGCCCTTAAAATGAAGGGATACTGCGTGAAGGATGGCCGTTAGGAGGTGATGAGTTGTCTCGTTCTCCAATCCTTTATTTGGTCGTTATTTGGGTTGGCGCTACTGCGTCTGCTGATAGGCCGGTCACTCACCTCCCCCTCGTACGGCTTTGCCTCTTCCTGCGCGTGAGACTCGGAGAGAGCGAGCGAGCGAGGCAGCGAGAGAAACACCTCGCCCTCCGCGATGGGGCGATGCGCCACCATGCGGAGGTTCGCTCTGGCGGTGGGGGGAGGAGGAGGGGAAGGGGGATGGGGGGTGATAGGCAAGGTGAGGTAAGGAGTGCTTACTTTATACGCTTCAAGGGGAAGGAGGAAGGATTGGAAGACTAACTGGGGAGAAGATGTGCTGGGGAGAAAGGCAAGGTACAGAACATAGAAAGAGGGCAACATCCGTTCTTTGGAGCATTACAAACTGGCTTGGCTCACCTTGACCTGCTGGACGCCTTGAGAGTGGTGTTAGCGTCAATGAATACCTGCACGCATGCGAGTGGTTTGCACAGGATTGGGTCAGTGAGAGGACTGCTCGATTTCCTGACAAGGAGAACGTCCATCGTTTAGTCATTGGCAACCGTTCGACACCTTTCCACTCGTTCTCAGCTCAGTCAATCGTTCGAAGCCATGATCACTTCCTGGTATAGCTTATTTTCCCCAATGCTTTCATTCAGGACACCGCCAACCATCCAAAGACGTATGCTCGTCCTACGTCACCTCACCTTAATTGCCGCGTCGTCGTCTCTAATCCCTTTCACGCCTTTATCCTCCAGCCACGTCAGCAGATCTTTCACCAACCGCTCCTCCTCCTCAATTCCCGCTAATTTCGGATTGAAACCCTCCGGCCCCGCTGCGCCTGTCGCCGCGTCTGCCGCTCCGTTCGCCGCAGTAAGGTCATCCGTAGAGACGAATTGATCCGGCACTACCCCTGCGGCTGCTTCAAGTCCCAAACCCAGGCCTGTGCCTACACTATCTCCTAAATCTGCAGCTGCAGCGGCAGCGGCGGCAGCGGCTATGCTTGAGTGAGAAGGATTTGACGCATCATTGCCGACAGGGGGTTCGGCTGACGAAACTGAGGAGGATCGGAGCATGAAGAGGAAGAGTAGCAGAGGAAGATGCAGGATGGGGGTGTGGATGAGGGTGGTTGCAATTGACCAGCGATGCGATGACGCGGCCATGCCGCGTGCAGTCAGCGTATACTTCGTGCAAGTGATCCGTTGGTGATCAGAGAGGGATCCGTGTGCGGTCGGTGTGCAGTACTTTAATAATCGTTTCGACGCAGCGGAAAGTGCGACGAAATCAGGCAGAACAGGCGCAGCGAATAGCTGGCTTCACTTCACGTTCATGAAGAATGATAACGAGAAACCTTCTGACCCACGCAAGGGGACCATCAGCACACGTAAAAGAAGGAGACGATAATCACTGTCCTTCGGCCTGGAGAGAAGTAAGCACACACGCGATCTTCGGTTGTGCCGATACGAGCAACGCGGCGCGACACACTAAAGCACTGGATGCTGCGAAGAGCGAGAGAAGGCAATGAATGCTCGAAAGAGGGTGGAGTGATCTCCAGCGAGCCAGGCAATGGGAGAGCCAGAAGTCCAAGATCAGTTTTCAAGATGAACGAGAACTCAAGGTTGTCAAATGAGAGCTCAAGAATGCTGATGAACGAGAAAGCCCGAGAAAGAACACCCTGATCGAGCGCGCCAGAAGTTGGCTGATTGGATGACTTCACAAGCCGCGTCCCAGTATGCAGGGAATGAAGACACATCACTTCACTTGCTGCTGGGAATATTCCAAATCCACCGACACAAAATTTACCATATATCAACCTACAGTTGCACAACTCCATTATATCCAGTATAAGATTTTACCAGTATATCCACTAAGTATGGAAACCATATACAAATTGATCACCATAAATTTCAGAGTTACACATCAATGCTCCATACTGATCCAGACTTAAATAATGATCGAGAGATCTCAGTATCAGGTATTCAACCAAATGTTCCATATTTACTGAACTCAATATCAAATATTTACTGATCTAGTTGAGAAATATATATTGATAATTTGCTACTTTAGTACGGTAATGTACTACCCATGCACTGTATGTCAGCATGGGGGGTTCCTCTTGGCCGCCAGGAGCAGAGCTCCTGACGTTACACCCAAGCACCGCGGTGGGGTGGGAACCATCGCTTGGGACCCTGCTGGGGGGGAGGAGAGAGAGAAAAAACATAATAAAGACTGCCCGGGGGCAGATGAGAATCATCCTCAAAGCAGGTGCAGCCCGTCCTTGCTGCCCAGTCTTGCTGCCTGACCAGCTGTGTAATTTTGCTCACTGCAGCTCGGCTGCTGTGAGGAACACGAGAAATGGGTTTTGAGGTGTCTTACAAAACCCAGAGTTTGCTCACTGCAGCGACTCTGCAGTGAGGAGAACACGAGTTTTGAGACGTCTCCCAAAACTCAGGGACCAGCGGACTGACGGAACGGAAACAGAACGACAAGCTGCAGTGCACTGCAGTAAACAGAACAGAACCGCCACCGGCAGTTCACAGCTGTCTTGAGGCGCCTCAAGAACAGCACACAAGGACCCCACCACCCACCTCTCCCTCCTCACCCCTCACCCCTCCCTCCTCACCCCTCACCCCTCCCTCAGCCCCATACTCCCTTGTGAAAGCAGGCGCTGCTGGTGACAGCTGCTGCTCCCTCCTCTGCACTCCAACCCGCCTCCATCCGCCCTGCCATACAGGAATGCAAGAGGGGGATCCACGGGAAGAAAGATTAGTTGCTCGTGAAGATGCGAGCCAAAAGAGAAAGCAAAAAACAAAACAGAAATTGAAACATGAGAGAAGGAAACGAAACGAATGCGAAAACAGAGTGGAAATCGGTCCCCTCCCCGAGCCCCGTACTCCCTTCTGAAAGAAGGCGCTGCTGGTGCTGCCGCTGCTCCCTCCTCCTCCGCATTCCAACCCGCCTCCCTCCTCCCTCCCATGTAGCTGCTGCTGCCGCGCCTCCCGCTCTGCAGTACAGGAATGCAAGAGGAGGGAGCTAAGGGAAGAAAGATAAGTGGCTGGTGAAGACAATGCAAAAATTGAAACAGAAATTGAAACATGCGACAAGGAAACGAAACGAATGCGGAAACAGAGCAAAAATTGGTCCCCTCCCTGCGCCCCATACTCCCTTCTGAAAGAAGGCACTGCTGGTGCTGCTGCTCCCTCCTCCTCCGTACTCCAACCCGCCTCCCTCCTCCCTCCCGTGTAGCTGCTGCTGCCACGCCGCCCGCTCTGCAGCCGCCCCCACCAGCTCTCCACTTCGCCATGATGCGCCCTGCCATACAGGAATGCAAGAGGGGGATCTAAGGAAAGAAAGATAAGTTACTGGTGAAGATGCGAGCAAAAAGAGAATGCAATAAACAAAGCAGAAATTGAAACATGCGACAAGGAAACGAAACGCATGCGAAAACAGAGCGGAAAACGTTTTCCTCCCTGAGCCCCATACTCACTTTTGAAAGAAAGATAAGTTGGTGGTGAGGCTGCATGGGAAAACAGAATACAAAACAAAAACAAAACACGCGACACTGAAGAAACAAGAATACAAGAAACAAAGAAAACGTTCACCTCGGACCCATCCATACTCCCTTCTCAAGGCAGCCGTTGCTGATGGCACCGCACTGCACTCCCTCGGACCCATCCATACTCCCTTCTCAAGACAGGCGTTGCTGATACTCCCTTTCAAAGGGGTATCAGCAACGAGTGCCGATCAGGAGTGCGTCAAAGGCCAAAAGAGGAGTTAACTGGGAAGTATGAGCTGAAGTATGCTTAGGGTGAGTGTGAGGCAACGGTGGGACAAGCGGGAGGATGAGTTCCAAAGAGTGGGGTGGCAGCCACCAATCTAAGAACGCATCCAGCACACACTAACCGCGGCTCAGCTGGGCAAGAGGGAGAGTGAGAGGAGAGCAATGAGAGGGAGGTCCCACCCCCAATCAAAGTATCACCACTCAGACACACCTTTCTCACAGCTTTTTACTCCCTTCCACATACGACAGCCTCTCCCTCCAAGTACCCCCTCCTTCAGCTTATCAGCCTCTCCTTCTCGCACCTCCACCTCACCCCAAGGGTGCAGATGGGAGAACACGAATGGGAACATCCTTGCTCCGTCCACCTCACCTCGTGTGCCGCCAGCAAGTGGTGGTCAGCAGGGCGGGTAGGAGGCAGCCACATGCCAGTGGCTGCCGGCCGTGCGTCATCCCACCTCTCTCGCTCTTCTCCTCGTTCCACATCTCGCCTCTAGCCGCACGCCTCTCGCCTCGCCGGGCGTTGCACTCACATCCAGAGAGCGTGCCGTAGGAGTTGCACTCACAACCAGAGAGTGTGTCGCAGGAGTTGTACTCACATCCAGAGAGTGTGTCGCGGGTGTTGTACTCACATCCAGAGAGTGTGTCGCAGGTGTTGTACTCACATCCAGAGAGTGTGTCGCAGGTGTTGTACTCACATCCAAAGAGTGTGTCGCAGGTGTTGTACTCACATCCAGAGAGTGTGTCGCAGGTGTTGTACTCACATCCAGAGAGTGTGTCGCAGGTGTTGTACTCACATCCAGAGAGTGTGTCGCAGGTGTTGTACTCACATCCAGAGAGTGTGTCGTAGGAGTTGTACTCACAACCAGAGAGTGTGTCGCAGGAGTTGTACTCACATCCAGAGAGTGTGTCGCAGGAGTTGTACTCACATCCAGAGAGTGTGTCGCAGGAGTTGTACTCACATCCAGAGAAGTTGTACTCACATCCAGAGAAGTTGTACTCACATCCAGAGAAGTTGTACTCACATCCAGAGAAGTTGTGCTCACATCCAGAGAAGTTGCACCCGCAGCCATCGTCGACAAAAAAATCAGAGACAAGCCAATGCAAACCTACTGATGCACTCACATCCAGAGAAGGAGGTGGATGTGGCTGTCGCCTCTGTAAAGAGCGTCGGTGATATGTCAAAGAGAAACGAGAAAGACAGCGAGACAGATCGAGAGAGTGTGAAGAGGCAAGGGTAAGATAGCTTAGCCAGATTGAAGAGGGTCGAAGGAGCATGCAGGCGTGCTCCCCTTGCATGCGTGCGGCACCCACACAGCCATGCGCCTCTCCTTGCCGCCACACTCCCCCTGCTGCCACAGCGCAACTCAGAGACGGCACAGTCAGTTGCGCTGGTTCTGCCAGGAGGTTGGGCGAGGGCAGTGGTCAGCAGGGCCAGCCCAGGCCGTGCGTCATCCCACCACTCGCCTCTCCCACTCGCTCACGCTGCTTCCACTGCTCCTCCATGCTTTCTGCTGCTTCCGGACTGTAGGTGTGCTGGCAGAGGGAAGTAGGCGAGGGATGCTGGCAGAAGGAGAGGAGAAGAGGGAAACAGGTGGACGGAGCAGAGAAGGGAGCTGAGGGAAGGCGATTAGCATGGCGTACGCAAGTGACAGAACGGAAAAACGGCACTCATGCAAGCAAGGAAAAATGGAAGTATGCAAGCAGTGAGAGTGTGTGAGTGGTGTGAGTGGTGGTAGAAGTGGGTGGAAGCGGGTGGTGGCAGCTGCAGGGCGGGCACCAAGGACAATACCGTACCTTAGCACACCTGACGCACTTACCTGCTGTCACACACCTGGGGAGGGTCCCTTGGTGCCGCCCGTGAGAGCGGCGAGAGGAGGAGGAGGGCGAGAGTGCAAGCAAGCAGTGGAAGGCACGAGTGGGAGCGAGTGAGTGGTGCGTGCACAGTGAAAATTCAGTGAAATAGCTTAGCTGGATTAAAGAGGGTTGAAGGAGCATGCAGGCGTGATCCTCTTGCATGCGCTCCCTGCGCTCCCTGCCCCGCATTTGTGTGCCTCCTTGAGTCCGCTCTGCTCCCGGAGAGGCAAGCAGTGGTCAGCAGGGCGCGCAACAGCAGTGTTGCCCGCCGTGCGTCATCCCACTGCCGCCCTCTGCTGGCTCTGCACAAGGAGCAACCAGGCACAACGGCAGAGAGCACAAGACCGAGTGGCAATGAGAGCAAGAACAGGTGGCAGAGAGCAAGAGGAGGTGAAACCAACGTCCGGCAAGAAAGCAAGTCGACGAACGAACGAACAAATGGTAAACACATTGGAGCGACAAGTGAGTGATAAGGGAGGGGTGGGGGGGGGAGGCGCATGGCGACAGTGGGCCAAGGGCACCTAAGCAGCGAGCTGAGGCAGCGAGGGGGGACTGGGGACGCGCGCATGGCATGAATGAAATTCTATCCCAAGCCACACCCACTGGACTCTCTGGACTGGACTCTACATGAGCTCAGCTGCCATAATGCGCCCTGACTCACCGCCGTCATGCGCCTCACAGGAACACGTGTGCTTGGGACGAGAAACACGGGATGCAGCAACACAACACAACACAGTGGTGCGGAGTGGTGTAGAAACACTACAGAGTGGTGTAAGGGTTGAGGAGGGAACTTAGCCGGGTTCAGAATCTGCTCGTTGCTTGCCGATTTTCGTTTTCCGCACTCGCCGCATTTCTCCACACGTTCCGTTTCCCCATTCACCACGTCAGTGCTTCTCCCAACACCTCATCGCAGCTCCACACGCCCGCTCTGGTGTTGCCTGGCTGTTGACAGCTGTGTTGACTGCTGCTGCACGTGGTGTTGCTCTGGTGCTCTGCCACGCTCGATTCGGCCTGAGGGAAGAAGATGGATGGAGGGAGAAGGAACAGCGAGAGGGCAGGCAGAGAGAACTTGGAATGTTATGTAGCACAAAACATGTCCAGGTGGGAAAGAGAGCAGAGGTCGTGGAGAGCAAGAATGAGAATGAATTGGAGTTTGCAACTGCAGAGTCTCGAGTGGTTGGGGAGGGGTGGGGGGGGAAGGCGCATGGCGACAGTGGCCCACGGCACTACAGCAGCGAGCTGAGCCAGCGAGGGGGGACTGGGACGCACGCATGGCATGAATGCACTCCCTCTCCCTCTATTCTCTCCCACCACTCACACTACACTCTCCATGAGCTCTGCTGCCATAGCACTATGGACCACCACCAGCATGCGCCAAGCAAGGGATACGAGGTGACAATCTGGCAGCAGTAAAAACGACGGACGGGGAGAGCGACGGAGGAGTGAAGAGTGGGGAGCGCGAGGAGACTTAGCTACAGGAGAGTGTTGAAGCTGATCATCCGCATTCGCTCACTGTCACGCGAGGTACATCGCACGCCCTCAAACGCAATCAGTCGCCACCTTCCGCACACGGACGCGCGCGGACGCACACGGTACGTCGCATGGCGCTCGTCGGACAACGTCGCACGCCGATCGTCGCACGCGGTAAGTTGTCATCTTTCGCACACCGTCGCACGCGGGTCTTCCGAACGCGATCGCACGCGGGACGTCGCCAGCATCCGCGCACAGTCGCATGCAGTATGTCGCCAGCATCCGCACAACGTTGCACGCGGAAGGTCGCACGCAGTTGGTCGCCGACTTCCGCACAAGATCGCACGCGGTACGTCGCCATCATCCGCACGGCCTAGCACGTAATTAGTCGCCATCTTCCGCAGACGGACGCGCGCGGTACGTCACATGCCGCCATCTTCCGCCATCTTCCGCACACGGACACGGACGCGCGCGGTACGTCGCATGCAGTTCGTCGCACATCGTCGCATGCCGATCGTTGCACGCGGTAAGTCGCCAAAATCCGCACACAGTCGCGCGTGGTAAGTAGCACGGCCTCGCACGCAATTAGTCGCCATCTTCCGCACACGGACGCGCGCGGTATGTTGCATGCCGTTCGTCGCACATCGTCGCACGCCGATCGTCGCACGCGGTAAGTCGCCAAAATCCGCACACCGTCGCACGCGGTAAGTCGCCATCATCCGCACACCGTCGCACGGGGAACATCGCCCGCGGTACGTCGCATGCCGTTTGTCGCACATCGTCGTACACTATGCGCCATGTCGCCCAGCATCCGCACGGCGCCGCATGCGGAACGTCGCACGCGTTAAGTCGCCACCCTCCGCACACCGTACGCGGCTGGCCGCCGTCTTCCACACACGGTCAACCGTGTGAAGTCGTAATCGTCCACACACCGTCGCACAGGGAACGTCGTATGCGGTTCGTCGCCATCTTCCACACATCGTCGCATGCAGTATGTCGCCAGCATCCGCACAATGTTGCACGCGGAAGGTCGCACACAGTGTGTCGTGTGTCACTGTGTCGCCGTGAATCACCGTGACGCCGGATGCCGGTTGCCTTGAGACTGCTTCCGTCGTTCCGAAGGTCAGGATGATGATGATACTCGTAGATCATCACGGACGCCGGATGCCGGTCGCCTTGATATTTGAGATTCACTCTCCATTCTATCCATGACGGCGCCAATCTGACGTGAAAACCGTCGAACCTGTTGGAAACTGCCGTAATAACACTCCGTGCTTCCAGTGCTGCCTGAAGATGCTAACAGAAGCGTCTCGTATGACATTCCTGACACGGTGCTGCTTCACGTATCATAATGCCTTGACTTAACGTTCGGATTTCGGCGACCATAGCAGCTATCGGCGAGTGGTTGGATGTACGACCATTTCGGAACGACGCTTAAACGGAACGGAAGCAACGTACGCTTCAACTAGAGCGGTGGAAACCGTATCAGGAAAGACCCGTCACGGATCATGTTTGCCGGCATAAAAATACCGGTTAATACTAAATTTATCCGAATCCAGATGCTGAGATTTAACGTAAGTAGCGTTCGCGGAAACTAAAACGGTGGGAATTCCTACGAATCATAGGTACCGCGGTTATAAGCTAAGCGTCAAGCAGTTAGCATCAGGCAATCATTCTCCCACTGAGACAGACTTATCGAGATAAGCTACTACTGTCATAAATCTTCTTCAGAATATGATCTAATCACAATAGGCTATATCTCTGAGAGATTTCGACAGCAGCCATGGCGTGCTGAGAAAGCACGAGCTAACGCTTGAGAAAATCAGTGAAGTGAATGAAGGAACTGGAATTCGGCAGAGGTGACTGGAATGGCCTTGGGAATGTCGCCGCGTTGACTTTGTCACAGAGGCTGCATGGACTTGGTGGAGGGAGGTGATGACAGGCGAGAGGAGTCGCCAAAACAGAGGCTTCCGCTGGTCTCCGCACACCACACAGGTGTAACTCATCAGACGACTTTCGCCACAAGCATGGAGTCCAACGCAGCCGCTAAACAGCGCTAGGCTGGGGTCTTCGTATCCCGACGAAGCGCAGTTTTTGAATATTCCGTGCGGGAGACTTCTGCAGCAGGTCTCCAGGAAAAGGTTCCGCCATTTTGGATCATCGCCGCAAGTTGTCCATCTATCATCACACAATCTCTATTAAAGCCCGCGGCCCAAATTGCGGGCCGTGCGGGTCAAGCTTTTAAAACTTGACGAACTAGTGTTTGCAAGGTTTTAAAAAAAGCGCGCCTGCAATTTGGGACTTTCGGGGACTGAACCAACCCCCAGGGCGAAATAACCGAAATCGATAACGTTCGCCAAACCCCAGACCAGAAAAACCCCCTCGCGTCAAGCTTTTAAAAGTTGTGCAATTTGGGCTGCCGGCTTTAAGTTTATGCGATATTCATGCATATGTCGGCATCACAAAACAAAGAAACGACATACATTTTTATCCAACATTAACTTTTCACTACCAGACATTCTATACTAACGCATGTACCAGTGAGGATTTGAAGGCCTTACAAAAATAAATGTAATACCAGTAAACGACGCAAGCGACGCGAGAGCACATTTACTTGTTGGAGATGTTACGAAGCCAGCCCGCCAGCGCCCTGGTCTTCCCTAATCCTGCCCAATGCTCCCTCGTTGCAATTTATATTGGTACCAAAGCATTCAGTTCAGTAGCAAGTTCTCTTACAGGCAAACTACAATATATTCCCTGGTTCATGCACTGGTCGACACTAGGAGATGATATCATTATAATTAGTACAAATATTACGAGAATATTGTTTTGTTTTTCAAGAAGAACCCTAATCATGATGATACCGAATACTGTACGATCATCATGTCAGATGCACCAGCATCAAATACTAGGACCTCCACTTCTCCACACCACGTATGTGTGACTATACACTCAACTGTATAACAGTACACGAACACTGCCGGCCGTTGAGTAAGAGTAGCTAGCCATGGCAGCAGCAGAGCAAAGGCAGAGGCCGGTGAGAGTGAGGGCCATGAGCAGTAGCAGCAGCATCCTCCACACCACGTGCCGGCTCACCCACCTTCTCTCTGCCCACTCCACCCCCTGCGACACCGCCCGCCCTCTGTCTGAGCGTAGAGGACAGACAAGGGGGGAGCGGCTGCGGGGCCGCATAGGCGAAAACTGCTGGGGTGACACATGCAGGGGTGGTGACTGCTGGGGCGAGTTTTGCTGAGGGGTGGAGGGTAGCACGGGTGAAGATAGACAGGTGGCGGAATCGATCATGCCGTTACAAGGGTGCTCCAGTGGAAGCGAGTCAGAAGGACCTGATAAGGATGCGCCTCTGGCTGCCTCTGCTCCTGCTGTCAAGCCTGCCTGTGCTGCAGCACCCGCCTCTCCCCCGCTCTCCCCATGCCTCTGCTCCGTCCTGGGCCCTCCTCCCCCCCCTGTCTCTCCCTCTGCTTCTCCCTCGCAGCACACCGCGCAAATGCAGCCGCCTGCCAGCCTAGCTGGCACGCTGACTTGGAGCCCGAAGAGATCGGAGATTGATGACGTGGAAGAAGATCCGCCACCGATGATCTGTATCTTGCTGCGTGTGCCTGGGCTCAGCAGCTGGAGGTGATGTGGGGAGAGATGGGAGGGGAGCAAGAGGGAACGCGCACAAAAGGGGGGGAGAGATGAGAGAGAGCATGTGGGCTGAATGGGAGAACAGCGGGCCAGCCCAACTGACTCATCATCACACGAAATGGGATTCAAATGTCACAGGCGTCCCCACCAGCATCCCCAGCAGCATCCCCCCTTCCCCCACCTGCAGTACCCCCCATTTGCATTACCCCTCTCCCCACCCACAGCAACCCTCCCCCCCCCCCCCGTCCTCACCTGCAGCATGGCGCGAGCCAGGAGGCGCAGAGCGGGCGGCAGGTGCAGCACGTGCAGGCGGGCCATGCGGTGCGGGAAGTTGCGGTGCAGAGCGGTGATGGTGGCACGCAGCAGTCCCACGGGCAGGTGCCACAAAGCAGGCGCACCCTGGCAGTCCAGAATCACGGCGATGCGCCCACTGTCGGGGCATGCCAGGGTGAGCGCTGTTGTCACCGCGCTCACTAGGGATGCTGGAGGAGAGGGTAGAATGGGGCATCAGCAGGAGAAAATGGAAGGGGGGAGCGAGAGGTTTGGGTATTTCTCTGATGGATGTGCTGCTCCCTTACGAATGCGATGACGGGGGAAGAGGTGGGGCTATAGGCTGGGAGGAGGCGAGAGTGGGAAGCACAGGTCATGAAGGCAGGAGGGGCGAGAGGGAAGGGTGGCTCACCCAGGTAGCAGACAAAGTCGGCATGGAAAGCAGACGGGATGGCCTTAGCTGCCCGCCCCACGTGCAGAACAAGACAAGGCCTGCCGTCCACGTCCGCGCCGTGCCAGTAGCCGAAGGGGCGCCAGGGCGAGCAGAGCACCTCGGCAGGCGCGAGGAGGCGGAAGGAGCAGCGCCACGTGGCAGTGGCGCGGATGCGGTTCACCATTGTTGCCACGTGGCGCTTGCCTGGCACTGCATAGCGCAGCACTGTGTCGTCAGTCAGCCTGCCGGGGGGAAGGAGGGGGGGAGGCGCGGGGGGAGGGGGAGGGGGGGTTTGGGAGGGGAGAGTGTGGGGGAGAGGGCATGGAAGAAGAGCATGTGGGGGAGAGGGCGCAGGAGTACGTGCTGGGTGGCGGTGCTGTGAAGTGGAGCAGTAAGCAAGGCACGCACACGGCGGAATTATGCTTGAGAACACCCGGATTCGCAACTCGCTTGACCGGACTGCTCTCTCACCAATCCTGTGTGTCCACGTCAGCATCTTCGAGCGCCGATCGCACGTCTTGAATCAAAACGAGGTCGGCAGGAGAGAGCACGGGAGAGGGCGGGGAAGGGAGCGCGGGAAGGACAGCAGCACGGGGAGGAGGAGTGGAAGGGCGAGAGGAGGGAGGGGATGCTGATGATGCCATGTCAGACGCAGCAGGAGAGCCGTCGAGTGAATAGTCTGACACTGATGAAGCCCCTGCCACTGATCCGGCCCCTTCTGGTGATGCCGCTACTGCTGCTGCCGCCGCTGCTCGCGCTGATGCTCGTGCTGTGGCGCGCGCTGCTGAGAGGGAAGGGCGGGGCTCGACCGGGGGTGGGAGCATGTGCGGAGGATCCTTGGGGGGCGCGCGGGAGGAGGGGCGAGCGGGGAGGAGGAAGGGCAGGAGGGCGGAGAGCGTGGAGACGAGGAGCGGCGCGGCGAACGTCTGTGAGGTGGCAGGACGCAGGGGGGGGAGGGAGGGAGAGAGGATGGGAAGGGGATGAGAGTGAGAGGGAGCAGAAGATAAGCGAGCAGCAGTAACGCTGTTCAAAACCTCCTGTATTCCTCGTTACGTTGCTTCATCCTACATGTTATCCCAACGTTCCGCATGCAATCCCAAATCCCTTTTGAGACGTCTCAAAAGTCGCATGCAATCCCAAATCCCTTCCTCGTACCACACTTCTCCCTTTTTCCCACCCCATGACCTTGCAAGCAACCCAGGCTCATACACTTCGCAGCGCTTACCTCCATAATCATCCACGTTCCGCCACGTGTCACCGTCACAACACGACCAATTATCTCCAGCGGTCCCCCGATTCCCCTCAACACCGCTTCCGCCTCCTCTTCTCCCCCCGCTCCCCTTCCCGCCACCACCTCTCCCCCTACCGTTCCCCCTCCCCCTGCCCTTCCGCCACCCTTCCCCCCACTGAGTCGCGCCTCCAGGTGCATTATTGCCACTACGTGCAGCGCGGGCCAGAGTAGCGGCGGGCCTAAAGCGCGTACAGGCTTCCTTAGCAATTTAATCGCAACTACTCGCACCGCGAACCACGTCGCGGCGTGCGACAAGCTCAAGGCTCCGCCGACGGATCGACTCAGAGCGACGCTCAAAGCGCCATCGCGGGCGACTGTGCGACGGACCGAGCGACCCAGCGTGCGACAGAGAGCCCCGAGCGGGGAGCGCACGAGCAACCCTGCGACGGCTGCGAGCCAGCCTCCCCGTCGCCTCGTTGGTCGCAGTTGATCACTCGCCGAAGCGGTCTCTCCTGTCGCATGGCCACTAGATGACGAACCGCTACGCGCGTCGCCCGTATCCCCCCTTGGTGAGGAAGGGACGGATGTCTCCGCATCGCCACTCGCTGCAATGCAGCTCGCCAGCTCAGCAACCTCGTCAAACCGTCGGGCCTCGGGGGTGTCGAACGAGGCTCGGCGGGAGTCGCTGCTGGGAACGGCGCTGCTCGTGTCGGCCTGTGGGGAATCCGCCGCCAAGTGCGGCGGATCTGGTGGGCTGCGGTGGCCGAGAGACATGTCGTGCTGCAAGAGCAAGGGTAAAGGTAAGGGTAATGATAAGGTAAGAGTAAGGGTTAGGTTACAAGTAATGGTCGCGCGGAAGCGAGTCAGGCATGAATATGGGTTTGCATTGCTAGTAGCAGGAGTTGTCAAGTCCTGGTTCTGAGACCGAATTCAACAATGGACGGCTGGAATCTAAACGTGTGGTGCAGAGCGATGGAGCGAGCAGACGGACGGAAATCTGTGGTCAGTGTGATGCTTTGGTTGGATTCCTCATCCGCGTTACTGCAATCTCTGACAAATCTGGCAGTTGCGACATTGTGCAGTTGTGTTATTCAGTTATTCCAACTCTTTCCAACAAATCATTCTTTGTCACCAACATCACGCTCCCCCACATTTTTTCGCCACTTCTCTCCTTTCTGCATCCTAAACTTCCCCGTGTAGGCCGAGTAAATTTATTTCTCAAACCTCAGCGAGTGCGGTGTGCGGAGGTACTGTAAGGTGAGACGGCCGACTGCGGCGCAATTGCCCCAGGAGGCGCAGGGCGCGGGCATGGAGGAGTGCGCGCAGTGCGGGGAGCGCGCCGTGGATTACGATGACCAGGCGCTGGCGCTCGTGTGCGCGCGATGCGGCCACGTGGCGGACGAGTCGCAGCTCACGTCGCGCGTGGAGTTCGACGAGCTCGGGCGGGCCGGCGGCGTGCGCGTTGGCGGTGGGGGAGGCGGGGGGGATGGCGGAGAGCCCCGCTCGTGGATGTGGACGGCGGGGGCGGGCGGGGGGCGATTTGGCGGCGGCGGGTGGGGGGAGGGGGCGGAGACGAAGTGGGGAGGCGGAGGGAAGTCGGCGGAATTCAAGAGGCGGAAGAACAAGGTGTGACTCCGCTGGTCCTTATGCTGCACTTCCGTCCGTTTGATCGCGAACCCCGCTGATTTCTCAGGGTGAACTTGCCGGCGTATGCTCAACAACACCTCATTCTCACGCTCAGATTAACCCTTCCCACCTCTCTCGCCTCCCACCTCCCGCACCCGCCCTTCCCTCACCCCTTCTGGTTCAACCACCATCTGCCCCTCTCCTGCCCTTCCGCCCTCTCCTGCGATTTCTTCCCCTTGTGCTTGCGCCTCTCCTCCGCCAGCGCGAGTGGGAGGAGCGGCTGGGCGCGGTGGTGGCGGGGCTGCGCGTGCCGGAGGGCGTGCGGGGGGATGCGGTGGGGGTGGCAGAGCGCGTGCTGGAGGGGCGCTGGGGCAGCGGGCAGTGGATGGGCGTGCTCATGGCGGCCGCGGTCTACATCGCTGCGCGCAACAGGCGCCTCCCCGTGTCCATGGGGGAGGTGGCGGTGAGCGGCGTGGGGGAGGTGGCGGTGAGCGGCGTGGGGGAGGTGGCGGTGAGTGGCGTGGGGGAGGTGGCGGTGAGTGGCGTGGGGGAGGTGGCGGTGAGTGGCGTGGGGGAGGTGGCGGTGAGTGGCGTGCAGAGGTGGGCGTGGGGTGGTGGGTGTGGGGAGGTGGGTGTGGGGGGAGGCTGTGGAGGGAGGTGGGCCTTGGGGGAGGTGGGCATGGGGGATGTGGCGTTGAGTTGTTTCTTGCTTTTCCTCTTTCGTGCCTTCTCCTCTACGCCCCTCACCCACCCCTCCCCGCCCCTCCCCCCCCCACCAGCATGCCACGGAGTGCGAGGTGGCAGCGGTGTGGGCCATGGTCAAACGCATCGTGGCTTTCTGTCCCATGCTGCAGGTACTCCCCATTTCTGTGCCATTCTTTCTCCGCCTGCCTCTGGCTGATTGTGTCTGCATTTCTTTGACGCACTGCGCTTCTCTCTGCGTCGAAAGCCCCTTGGTGATCACACCTTGTCTTCAGCAATTATCCCACGACATGCCACCGTATGCCATGCCGTGCCATCCCACGACATGCCACCGTATGCCATGCCGTGCCATCCCACGCCATGCAACCAAAAGCCATGCCACGCCACCGCACCCCACGTTATGCATGTGCAGCCGGAGCAGGTGGATCCAGTCAGCCATGTGTGGAGGGCGGTGCATGCCATGCCTGCACTCAGGGTATGTGCATGTGTGCAGCACTAGATGTATGTGCATGTGTGTGGGTTTACCATGCACTAGTGTCATGTGCACCTTCATTTCTTCCTGTTAGCCTTGTCACTCACAGAAAGCTCGAGCGCACGGTTCCACTCATACACCCATACACCCTGCTGCTTTATTTTTCATGTAATGGCATGGCATGGCATGGCATGGCATGGCACGTCACGGCATGGCAAGCACAGGAGTGGCAGGGTGAGGGAGGAAGGCAGGTGATAGTGGGGGACGCCATGAGGCTGCTCACCTTCGCACACTCGCTCTCTCTGCACACCGGCCGCCATGCTGCCCCGGTACCTCCCCTCTCCCATGCTGCCCCGGTACCTCCCCTCTCCCATGCTGCCCCGGTACCTCCCCTCTCCCATGCTGCCCCGGTACCTCCCCTCTCCCATGCTGCCCCGGTACCTCCCCTCTCCCATGCTGCCCCGGTACCTCCCCTCTCCCATGCTGCCCTGGTACCTCCCCCTCCCATGCTGCCCCGGTACCTCCCCTCTCCCATGCTGCCCCGGTACCTCCCCTCTCCCATGCTGCCCCGGTACCTCCCCTCTCCCATGCTGCCCCGGTACTCCCCTCTCCCATGCTGCCCCGGTACCTCCCCTCTCCCATGCTGCCCCGGTACCTCCCCTCTCCCATGCTGCCCCGGTACCTCCCCTCTCCCATGCTGCCCCGGTACCTCCCCTCTCCCATGCTGCCCCCGGTACCTCCCCTCTCCCATGCTGCCCCGGTACCTCCCCTCTCCCATGCTGCCCCGGTACCTCCCCTCTCCCATGCTGCCCCGGTACCTCCCCTCTCCCATGCTGCCCCGGTACCTCCCCTCTCCCATGCTGCCCCGGTACCTCCCCTCTCCCATGCTGCCCCGGTACCTCCCCTCTCCCATGCTGCCCCGGTACCTCCCCTCTCCATGCTGCCCCGGTACCTCCCCCTCTCCCATGCTGCCCCGGTACCTCCCCTCTCCCATGCTGCCCCCGGTACCTCCCCCTCTCCCATGCTGCCCCGGTACCTCCCCTCTCCCATGCTGCCCCGGTACCTCCCTCTCCCATGCTGCCCCGGTACCTCCCCTCTCCCATGCTGCCCCGGTACCTCCCCTCTCCCATGCTGCCCCGGTACCTCCCCTCTCCCATGCTGCCCCGGTACCTCCCCTCTCCCATGCTGCCCCGTACCTCCCCTCTCCCATGCTGCCCCGGTACCTCCCCTCTCCCATGCTGCCCCGGTACCTCCCCTCTCCCATGCTGCCCCGGTACCTCCCCTCTCCCATGCTGCCCCGGTACCTCCCCTCTCCCATGCTGCCCCGGTACCTCCCCTCTCCCATGCTGCCCCGGTACCTCCCCTCTCCCATGCTGCCCCCGGTACCTCCCCTCTCCCATGCTGCCCCGGTACCTCCCCTCTCCCATGCTGCCCCGGTACCTCCCCTCTCCCATGCTGCCCCGGTACCTCCCCTCTCCCATGCTGCCCCGGTACCTCCCCTCTCCCATGCTGCCCCGGTACCTCCCCTCTCCCATGCTGCCCCCGTACCTCCCCTCTCCCATGCTGCCCCGGTACCTCCCCTCTCCCATGCTGCCCCGTACCTCCCCTCTCCCATGCTGCCCCGGTACCTCCCCTCTCCCATGCTGCCCCGGTACCTCCCCTCTCCCATGCTGCCCCGGTACCTCCCCTCTCCCATGCTGCCCGGTACCTCCCCTCTCCCATGCTGCCCCGGTACCTCCCCTCTCCCATGCTGCCCCGGTACCTCCCCTCTCCCATGCTGCCCCGGTACCTCCCCTCTCCCATGCTGCCCCGGTACCTCCCTCCCCTCTCCCATGCTGCCCCGGTACCTCCCCTCTCCCATGCTGCCCGGTACCTCCCCTCTCCCATGCTGCCCCGGTACCTCCCCTCTCCCATGCTGCCCCGGTACCTCCCCTCTCCCATGCTGCCCCGGTACCTCCCCTCTCCATGCTGCACGGTACCTCCCCTCGTCCCATGGCTGCCCCCCGGTACCTCCCCTCTCCCATGCTGCCCGGTACCTCCCCTCTCCATGCTGCCCCGGTACCTCCCCTCTCCCATGCTGCCCCCGGTACCTCCCCTCTCCCATGCTGCCCCCGGTACCTCCCCTCTCCATGCTGCCCCGGTACCTCCCCTCTCCCATGCTGCCCCGGTACCTCCCTCTCCCATGCTGCCCCGGTACCTCCCCTCTCCCATGCTGCCCCCGGTACCTCCCCTCTCCCATGCTGCCCCGGTACCTCCCCTCTCCCATGCTGCCCCGGTACCTCCCCTCTCCCATGCTGCCCCGGTACCCTCCCCTCTCCCATGCTGCCCCGGTACCTCCCCTCTCCCATGCTGCCCCGGTACCTCCCCTCTCCCATGCTGCCCCGGTACCTCCCCTCTCCCATGCTGCCCGGTACCTCCCCTCTCCATGCTGCCCCCGGTACCATCCCCTCTCCATGCTGCCCCGGTACCTCCCCTCTATCCCCCATGCTGCCCCGGGTACCGTCCCCTGCTGCCCCGGTACCTCCCCTCTCCCATCTGCCCCCGGTACCTCCCCTCTCCCATGCTGCCCCGGTACCTCCCCTCTCCATGCTGCCCCGGTACCTCCCCTCTCCCATGCTGCCCCGGTACCTCCCCTCTCCCATGCTGCCCCGGTACCTCCCCTCTCCCATGCTGCACCGGGTACATCCCCTCTCCCATGCTGCCCCGTACCTCCCCTCTCCCATGCTGCCCCGTTACCTTCCCCTCTCCCATGTGCCCCGGCTACCTCCCCTCTCCCATGCTGCCCCGGTACCTCCCTCTCCCATGCTGCCCCGGTACCTCCCCTCCCATCTGCCGGTCCTCCTTCTAGCGCCCCGGTACCTCCCCTCTCCATGCTGCCACCGGTACCACTCCCCCTCTCCCATGCTGCCCCGTTACTCCCTCTCCCATGCTGCCCCGGTACCTCCCCTCTCCCATGCTGCCCCGGTACCTCCCTCTCCCATGCTGCCCCGGTACCTCCCCCTCTCCCATGCTGCCCCGGTACCTCCCCTCTCCCATTCTGCCCCGGTACCTCCCCTCTCCCATGCTGCCCCGGTACCTCCCCTCTCCCATGCTGCCCCGTACCTCCCTCTCCCATGCTGCCCCGGTACCTCCCCTCTCCCATGCTGCCCCGGTATCCCTCTCCCATGCTGCCCGTACCTCCCCTCTCCCATGCTGCCCCGGTACCTCCCCTCTCCCATGCTGCCCCGGTACCTCCCCTCTCCCATGCTGCCCCGGTACCCTCCCCTCTCCCATGCTGCCCCGGTACCTGCCCCTCTCCCATGCTGCCCCGGTACCTCCCCTCTCCCATGCTGCCCCGGTACCTCCCCTCTCCCATGCTGCCCCGGGTACCTCCCCTCTCCCATGCTGCCCCGGTACCTCCCCTCTCCCCTGCTGCCCCGGTACCTCCCCTCTCCCATGCTGCCCCGGTACCTCCCCTCTCCCATGCTGCCCCGGTACCTCCCCTCTCCCATGCTGCCCCGGTACCTCCCCTCTCCCATGCTGCCCCGGGTCCTCCCCTCTCCCATGCTGCCCCGGTACCTCCCCTCTCCCATGCTGCCCCGGTACCTCCCCTCTCCCATGCTGCCCCCGGTACCTCCCCTCTCCCATGCGCCCCGGTAACCTCCCCTCTCCCATGCTGCCCGGTACCTCCCCTCTCCCATGCTGCCCCGGTACCTCCCCTCTCCCATGCTGCCCCGGTACCTCCCCTCTCCCATGCTGCCCCGGTACCTCCCCTCTCCCATGCTGCCCCGGTACCTCCCCTCTCCCATGCTGCCCCGGTACCTCCCCTCTCCCATGCTGCCCCGGTACCTCCCCTCTCCCATGCTGCCCCGGTACCTCCCCTCTCCCATGCTGCCCCGGTACCTCCCCTCTCCCATGCTGCCCCGGTACCTCCCCTCTCCCATGCTGCCCCGGTACCTCCCCTCTCCCATGCTGCCCCGGTAACCTCCCCTCTCCCATGCTGCCCCGGTACCTCCCCTCTCCCATGCTGCCCCGGTACCTCCCCTCTCCCATGCTGCCCCGGTACCTCCCCTCTCCCATGCTGCCCCGGTACCTCCCCTCTCCCATGCTGCCCCGGTACCTCCCCTCTCCCATGCTGCCCCGGTACCTCCCCTCTCCCATGCTGCCCCGGTACCTCCCCTCTCCCATGCTGCCCCCTCCCTCTCCCCGGGTACCTCCCCTCTCCCATGCTGCCCCGGTACCCTCCCCTCTCCCATGCTGCCCCGGTACCTCCCCTCTCCCATGCTGCCCCCGGTACCTCCCCTCTCCCATGCTGCCCCGGTACCTCCCCTCTCCCATGCTGCCCCTCGGTACCTCCCCTCTCCCATGCTGCCCCGGTTACCTCCCCTCTCCCATGCTGCCCCCGGTACCTCCCCCTCTCCCATGCTGCCCCGGTACCTCCCCTCTCCCCTGCTGCCCCGGTACCCTCCCCTCCTCCCATGCTGCCCCGGTACCTCCCCTCTCCCATGCTGCCCCGGTACCTCCCCCTCTCCCATGCTGCCCCGGTACCTCCCCTCTCCCATGCTGCCCCGGTACCTCCCCTCTCCCATGCTGCCCCGGGTACCTCCCCTCTCCCATGCTGCCCCGGTACCTCCCTTCTCCCATGCTGCCCCGGTACCTCCCCTCTCCCATGCTGCCCCGTACCTCCCCTCTCCCATGCTGCCTCGAGTACCTCCCCTCTCCCATGCTGCCCTGCGTACCTCCCCTCTCCCATGCTGCCCGGTACCTCCCTCTCCCATGCTGCCCCGGTACCCTCCCCCTCTCCCATGCTGCCCCGGTACCTCCCCTCTCCCATGCTGCCCCGGTACCTCCCCTCTCCCATGCTGCCCCGGTACCTCCCCTCTCCCATGCTGCCCCGGTACCTCCCCTCTCCCATGCTGCCCCGGTACCTCCCCTCTCCCATGCTGCCCCGGTACCTCCCCTCTCCCATGCTGCCCCGGTACCTCCCCTCTCCCATGCTGCCCCGGTACCTCCCCTCTCCCATGCTGCCCCGGTACCTCCCCTCTCCCATGCTGCCCCGGTACCTCCCCTCTCCCATGCTGCCCCGGTACCTCCCCTCTCCCATGCTGCCCCGGTACCTCCCCTCTCCCATGCTGCCCCGGTACCTCCCCTCTCCCATGCTGCCCCGGTACCTCCCCTCTCCCATGCTGCCCCGGTACCTCCCCTCTCCCATGCTGCCCCGGTACCTCCCCTCTCCCATGCTGCCCCGGTACCTCCCCTCTCCCATGCTGCCCCGGTACCTCCCCTCTCCCATGCTGCCCCGGTACCTCCCCTCTCCCATGCTGCCCCGGTACCTCCCCTCTCCCATGCTGCCCCGGTACCTCCCCTCTCCCATGCTGCCCCGGTACCTCCCCTCTCCCATGCTGCCCCGGTACCTCCCCTCTCCCATGCTGCCCCGGTACCTCCCCTCTCCCATGCTGCCCCGGTACCTCCCCTCTCCCATGCTGCCCCCGGTACCTCCCCTCTCCATGCTGCCCCTGGTACCTCCCCTCTCCCATGCTGCCCCGGTACCTCCCCTCTCCCATGCTGCCCCGGTACCTCCCCTCTCCCATGCTGCCCCGGTACCTCCCCTCTCCCATGCTGCCCCGGTACCTCCCCTCTCCCATGCTGCCCCGGTACCTCCCCTCTCCCATGCTGCCCGGTACCTCCCCTCTCCCATGCTGCCCCGGTACCTCCCCTCTCCCATGCTGCCCCGGTACCTCCCCTCTCCCATGCTGCCCCGGTACCTCCCCTCTCCCATGCTGCCCCGGTACCTCCCCTCTCCCATGCTGCCCCCGGGTACCTCCCCTCTCCCATGCTGCCCCGGTACCTCCCCTCTCCCATGCTGCCCCGGGTACCTCCCCTCTCCCATGCTGCCCCGGTACCTCCCCTCTCCCATGCTGCCCCCGGTACCTCCCCTCTCCCATGCTGCCCCGGTACCTCCCCTCTCCCATGCTGCCCCGGTACCTCCCCTCTCCCATGCTGCCCCGGTACCTCCCCTCTCCCATGCTGCCCCGGTACCTCCCCTCTCCCATGCTGCCCCCGGTACCTCCCCTCTCCCATGCTGCCCCGGTACCTCCCCTCTCCCATGCTGCCCCGGTACCTCCCCTCTCCCATGCTGCCCCGGTACCTCCCCTCTCCCATGCTGCCCCGGTACCTCCCCTCTCCCATGCTGCCCCGGTACCTCCCCTCTCCCATGCTGCCCCGGTACCTCCCCTCTCCCATGCTGCCCCGGTACCTCCCCTCTCCCATGCTGCCCCGGTACCTCCCCTCTCCCATGCTGCCCCGGTACCTCCCCTCTCCCATGCTGCCCCGGTACCTCCCCTCTCCCATGCTGCCCCGGGTACCTCCCCTCTCCCATGCTGCCCCGGTACCTCCCCTCTCCCATGCTGCCCCGGTACCTCCCCTCTCCCATGCTGCCCCGGGTACCTCCCCTCTCCCATGCTGCCCCGGTACCTCCCCTCTCCCATGCTGCCCCCGGTTACCTCCCCTCTCCCATGCTGCCCCGGTACCTCCCCTCTCCCATGCTGCCCCGGTACCTCCCCTCTCCCATGCTGCCCCGGTACCTCCCCTCTCCCATGCTGCCCCGGTACCTCCCCTCTCCCATGCTGCCCCGGTACCTCCCCTCTCCCATGCTGCCCCGGTACCTCCCCTCTCCCATGCTGCCCCGGTACCTCCCCTCTCCCATGCTGCCCCGGTACCTCCCCTCTCCCATGCTGCCCCGGTACCTCCCCTCTCCCATGCTGCCCCGGTACCTCCCCTCTCCCATGCTGCCCCGGTACCTCCCCTCTCCCATGCTGCCCCGGTACCTCCCCTCTCCCATGCTGCCCCGGTACCTCCCCTCTCCCATGCTGCCCCGGTACCTCCCCTCTCCCATGCTGCCCCGGTACCTCCCCTCTCCCATGCTGCCCCGGTTACCTCCCCTCCCATGCTGCCCCGGTACCTCCCCTCTCCCATGCTGCCCCGGTACCTCCCCTCTCCCATGCTGCCCCGGTACCTCCCTCTCCCATGCTGCCCCGGTACCTCCCCTCTCCCATGCTGCCCCGGTACCTCCCCTCTCCCATGCTGCCCCGGTACCTCCCCTCTCCCATGCTGCCCCGGTACCTCCCCTCTCCCATGCTGCCCCGGTACCTCCCCTCTCCCATGCTGCCCCGGTACCTCCCCTCTCCCATGCTGCCCCGGTACCTCCCCTCTCCCATGCTGCCCGGTACCTCCCCTCTCCCATGCTGCCCCGGTACCTCCCCTCTCCCATGCTGCCCCGGTACCTCCCCTCTCCCATGCTGCCCCGGTACCTCCCCTCTCCCATGCTGCCCCGGTACCTCCCCTCTCCCATGCTGCCCGGTACCTCCCCTCTCCCATGCTGCCCCGGTACCTCCCCTCTCCCATGCTGCCCCGGTACCTCCCCTCTCCATGCTGCCCCGGTACCTCCCCTCTCCCATGCTGCCCCGGTACCTCCCCTCTCCCATGCTGCCCCGGTACCTCCCCTCTCCCATGCTGCCCCGGTACCTCCCCTCTCCCATGCTGCCCCGGTACCTCCCCTCTCCCATGCTGCCCCGGTACCTCCCCTCTCCCATGCTGCCCCGGTACCTCCCTCTCCCATGCTGCCCCGGTACCTCCCCTCTCCCCATGCTGCCCCCGGTACCTCCCCTCTCCCATGCTGCCCCCGGTACCTCCCCTCTCCCATGCTGCCCCGGTACCTCCCCTCTCCCATGCCTGCCCCGGTACCTCCCCTCTCCCATGCTGCCCCGGTACCTCCCCTCTCCCATGCTGCCCCGGTACCTCCCCTCTCCCATGCTGCCCCGGTACCTCCCCTCATCCCATGCTGCCCCGGGTACCTCCCCTCTCCCATGCTGCCCCGGTACCTCCCCTCTCCCATGCTGCCCCGGTACCTCCCCTCTCCCATGCTGCCCCGGTACCTCCCCTCTCCCATGCTGCCCCCGGTACCTCCCCTCTCCCATGCTGCCCCGGTACCCTCCCCTCTCCCATGCTGCCCCGGTACCTCCCCTCTCCCATGCTGCCCCGGTACCTCCCCCTCTCCCATGCTGCCCCGGTACCCTCCCTCTCTCCCATGCTGCCCCGGTACCTCCCCTCTCCCATGCTGCCCCGGTACCTCCCCTCTCCCATGCTGCCCCGGTACTCCCCTCTCCATGCGCCCGGTACCTCCCCTCTCCCATGCTGCCCCGGTACCTCCCCTCTCCCATGCTGCCCCGGTACCTCCCCTCTCCCATGCTGCCCCGGTACCTCCCCTCTCCCATGCTGCCCCGGTACCTCCCCTCTCCCATGCTGCCCCGGTACCTCCCCTCTCCCATGCTGCCCCGGTACCTCCCCTCTCCCATGCTGCCCCGGTACCTCCCCTCTCCCATGCTGCCCCGGTACCTCCCCTCTCCCATGCTGCCCCGGTACCTCCCCTCTCCCATGCTGCCCCGGTACCTCCCCTCTCCCATGCTGCCCCGGTACCTCCCCTCTCCCATGCTGCCCCGGTACCTCCCCTCTCCCATGCTGCCCCGGTACCTCCCCTCTCCCATGCTGCCCCGGTACCTCCCCTCTCCCATGCTGCCCCGGTACCTCCCCTCTCCCATGCTGCCCCGGTACCTCCCCTCTCCCATGCTGCCCCGGTACCTCCCCTCTCCCATGCTGCCCCGGTACCTCCCCTCTCCCATGCTGCCCCGGTACCTCCCCTCTCCCATGCTGCCCCGGTACCTCCCCTCTCCCATGCTGCCCGGTACCTCCCCTCTCCCATGCTGCCCCGGTACCTCCCCTCTCCCATGCTGCCCCGGTACCTCCCCTCTCCCATGCTGCCCCGGTACCTCCCCTCTCCCATGCTGCCCCGGTACCTCCCCTCTCCCATGCTGCCCCGGTACCTCCCCTCTCCCATGCTGCCCCGGTACCTCCCCTCTCCCATGCTGCCCCGGTACCTCCCCTCTCCCATGCTGCCCCGGTACCTCCCCTCTCCCATGCTGCCCCGGTACCTCCCCTCTCCCATGCTGCCCCGGTACCTCCCCTCTCCCATGCTGCCCCGGTACCTCCCTCTCCCATGCTGCCCCGGTACCTCCCTCTCCCATGCTGCCCCGGTACCTCCCCTCTCCCATGCTGCCCCGGTACCTCCCCTCTCCCATGCTGCCCGGTACCTCCCCTCTCCCATGCTGCCCCGGTACCTCCCCTCTCCCATGCTGCCCCGGTACCTCCCCTCTCCCATGCTGCCCCGGTACCTCCCCTCTCCCATGCTGCCCCGGTACCTCCCCTCTCCCATGCTGCCCCGGTACCTCCCCTCTCCCATGCTGCCCCCGGTACCTCCCCTCTCCCATGCTGCCCCGGTACCTCCCCTCTCCCATGCTGCCCCGGTACCTCCCCTCTCCCATGCTGCCCCGGTACCTCCCCTCTCCCATGCTGCCCCGGTACCTCCCCTCTCCCATGCTGCCCCGGTACCTCCCCTCTCCCATGCTGCCCCGGTACCTCCCCTCTCCCATGCTGCCCCGGTACCTCCCCTCTCCCATGCTGCCCCGGTACCTCCCCTCTCCCATGCTGCCCCGGTACCTCCCCTCTCCCATGCTGCCCCGGTACCTCCCCTCTCCCATGCTGCCCCGGTACCTCCCCTCTCCCATGCTGCCCCGGTACCTCCCCTCTCCCATGCTGCCCCGGTACCTCCCCTCTCCCATGCTGCCCCGGTACCTCCCCTCTCCCATGCTGCCCCGGTACCTCCCCTCTCCCATGCTGCCCCGGTACCTCCCCTCTCCCATGCTGCCCCGGTACCTCCCCTCTCCCATGCTGCCCCGGTACCTCCCCTCTCCCATGCTGCCCCGGTACCTCCCCTCTCCCATGCTGCCCCGGTACCTCCCCTCTCCCATGCTGCCCCGGTACCTCCCCTCTCCCATGCTGCCCCGGTACCTCCCCTCTCCCATGCTGCCCCGGTACCTCCCCTCTCCCATGCTGCCCCGGTACCTCCCCTCTCCCATGCTGCCCCGGTACCTCCCCTCTCCCATGCTGCCCCGGTACCTCCCCTCTCCCATGCTGCCCCGGTACCTCCCCTCTCCCATGCTGCCCCGGTACGTCCCCTCTCCCATGCTGCCCCGGTACGTCCCCTCTCCCATGCTGTCTTGCGTCACTTCCTGCTCCGCTGCGCTCTACCATCATCACGTCGACCCACGTCCATGTGCTTTCTCCTTGAGGGTTGTCTCCTCCACTTCCTGCCCATCTCAACCCACACCTCCCATCCCATGGACCCCTCCATCCTCCCACCCTCCCCCTCCCACCTCTCAGATAGCAGCGGCGGCGCTGCTGCTGGTGGCGGGGGCGAGGGGGGTGGTACTGGGAGAGGCGGAGCTGTGCGCAGCCATGGCAGTGCCGCCAGCCACGGTCAGGCAGCGCTTCTCAGAGCTCACGCGCGCCCTCACGCGCCTCGCGCGCTCGCTGCTGCTCCCAGGCGCCAACCACGTGTCCTCCCAGGCGGCCTTCCACCGCCTGCTGCCCTCCATCCTCTCCGTGCGTCTGCTGGAGGACTCTATGCTAGCCTGTTCTGGAGGCACCTTGGAAGCTGCCTCTGAGATCGCTTGATATTTTAGGCTCTTCAAATATCTCCTTCCAGGCGCCAACCTTGTGTCCTCCCAGGTGGCCTCCACCGCCTGCTGCCCTCCATCCTCTCCGTGCGTCTACCGCGGCTCTATGCTAGCCGTGTACAGTCATGCATCCCCTCTCTTCCCTTGTCAAGCACTTGTTTTGCCGGTTCCCACTCAGGCGCACACTTGCTCCGTTTCTCATCACACCTCGCCTCCCTCCACGTTTTCTCCCTCATGTGTTTCCTGGCCAATCAGCTTCTGCCGTCGCCGTCTCGAGTGGGCCATCGCTTCGTGATGCCATCTGCTGACGTGGACAGGCATGCTGATGTGGCACATCAAGCTGCTGATGTGGCTACCCCAAGTGGTACATCTCGGGGAGGTGAAAGCGGAGGAGCAGAGCCGGCAGGGAAGGCAGGTGATGTGAAAAGCGGAAGCGGGACGGGGGAAGGCGAAGGTCCAAGCAGAGAGCAAGGAGAGAAACGAGGAGACAGAGGGGGAGATGGAGGAGAGGAGGGTGCATTGGAGGCGGGCGAGGGGCGGTGCTCCAATGAGCTGCTGCCACCTGCATTTGAAGACAGTGAAATGGCGCATCAACGGTGCGAGCCCTCTCTTGCCCAGTCATCTCGTCTCCTTCTATCCCCCTCTAGCCCCATCCACACCCCTCTTCACCTCATAACCCCCCCATACGCCTCAGTGCTCCCCATGCTCATCCTCCTGCCTTCACCTCGCCACTCCCTCTTTCCACATCGTACTCACATCTTGCTCCAAGGCTGCCTTTTCTCTCTGTCCCCCACCCCACCACCCAGTCGCACTGGGCTGCTTACTTGCGCCTGGCACCGCCTGCAGCACACCAAGCGGGACCGATGGGGGTGTGCTGGGAGAGGAGGGGCCGGGGGAGGGCTGGCGAAGGGAGGAGCTGGGGAGAGCAGTAAGGGTGGGGGCGAAGGGGACGAGGGGTTTCAGGGGGGGGAGGAAGGCAGAGGGGTGGAGACGGGTTGTGATGGGTCGAGAATGGAGGTGCTGTGGCGGTGGGAAGGGGTGTGCGTGGATGATAAGGGGGGTGGGGGGGGAGGGAAGAGGGTGAAGAGAAGCATGAGGTGCTTTGACGAAGGAAGTGGTGGGGAGGCAAAGAGGCAGCAAGGGCAAGGGAGTGGCAACAACGAGGAAGCTGTTGTGGATTGGCTGCTGCTGCAGCAGGTGGGAGGGGTCACGACTTTTATGTACTTGCATTGTAGTTGAAGTTGCTTCTGCTCTGCTCTGCAAGCATTGTGTCCTGTGTTTGTCCTGATGAGAGACGGATTAGTAACTGTGGTGTTGGTGTGATCTACAGGCGGATCCAAGGGCGACGGCTTCAGGATGGTACCGCTCTGCTGCTTCCACCGTCATAGACCGCCATATCACTGGTTCCAGCAAGCACACCTAGAAACAAAATTGCAATTATTTTTGGGCTTAGAAGTAGCCTTTAGGATCTTTCCAAGGCTAAGATCGTTGTTGAAGTAGGAATGTTGTAGTTGCAGAAGCGTTTAGTATCAGAGTTTGCTGAACCACCTTGTACTAGTGTGTGAGAACAAGATAAGTTAATAATAGCAGAGAGATACAAGGCTTTTATATGATTACAAAGGAATGTGAAAAGGTTCTACTTTAACTGTTTTTGCTGTTGCGGTTTGGTATAGTGACGACTCGGGTAACTGCTCAGTACCGAGTCAGTTATGTGTCCTTGCTGTCGCACTATACTTTTCGTTGAGTCAAAGGTCAGCGACTTTTGACCTTCGCGTAACCTCCAGCGGTTGCTTTTGTTGACTCGTGTGTTGCTTCGCTGTAGTCTGCTCTGTTTCATGTCAACACTTCGATACTTCAGAAGCGTTCAAGTTACTTGTTTCCAACACTCCCCTTCGCTTTTGGAGTGTCGCTGCTGATGACGTGTCCTTGTCCAGTCAGCAGCATGCAATACTCGAACTTCTGTTTTCCGAGTTTCTTGGTCAAGTAGTCGGCTGCCATCTCGGATGTGGGACAGTAAGATAACTCGAGTCTTCCCTTCTCGATTTCGTTTTTTACGAAGAAGTACCGGAGGGCGATGTGCTTTGTTCGATTCGCGAACCCATTTTTGTTCGCTATGCGAATGGCCGATTGATTGTCGCAGAAGAGGGAGAAGCTGGGTAACTGAGCCAATTTTGCTTCTTCCAACAATTCGCCAAGATATAGCCCTTCTTTGGTGGCTGAGCAGAGTGCGATATATTCTGCTTCAGCTGAGGAGAGAGCGATTAGCTCTTGCTTGTTCGACTGCCATGAGATAGGGCCGATAGGTTCGAGTTGGTAGATGTAGCCAGTACGAGATCGTCTCTTGTCAGAATCTCCAGCGTGATCGGCGTCGACGTAGCCGATTAACTTAGGTGTCGTAGTTCCGGTCTTGTGGTAGGTTAGTCCGATCGTCGGGGTGCTGACGAGGTAGTGAAGTGCACGGTCGAGTTCCAGCATGTGTTCTGCTTCAGGCTTCTTAAGGCAGGTGGCGAGTTGACTAGCTGAGTAGGATAGATCCGGTCGGCAGGTAACGGCTGCGAAGAGTAGACAACCAAGCTTTCGTTGGTAGTCGCGAATGCCGGCGGGTTTGAGTGGGGCGGAGACTTTTCGATTTCCGTCGGTGTAGCGGTATGCCGTGGTAATGGTAGTTGGAGTAAGTCTGAATCGTTTAGCGATAGTGTCCGTGTATTTTTCGGCGCTGAGGTAGATTGCGTTGTCGCCGTCTTGTATGTTGAGTCCCGGGCACTGTGTCACGGTGGTCGCGAAAGTGAGTGTGAGATCCCGCTGCAGCCCCCCTTCGAACCAGGTCGTTATGTCGTCGGTGGAGCCTATGTAGAGGAGGTCGTCTACGTAGACGATGAGTAGGATGTAGTCAGTCCCCTTAGTGAGTCGCTACATCCCTTGGTCGTGCGGTAGTTGGAGGAATCCGCATCAGATTAGGCGGGCGTGAAGATGCTGCTGCCATAGTCTCGGGGCTTGTTTGATGCCGTACAGTGACTTTTCCAGCTGACAGACTTGTTTGGGGTCTGCGTTAGACCCGTGCGGGAGTTCAACGAATATCTCTTTATCGACGGGGGCGTAGAGGAATGCGTTGGCGACATCGATTTGTCGAAGTTTCTTCCGGTTCATGGCGGCTATCGCGAGGAGAATCCGCAGTGAGGTATGTCGGCTAACTGGTGCAAATGTTTCCGTGAAGTCTCGTCCTTGCTCTTGGTCGAAGCCACGCACGACCCAGCGTGCCTTGAATTTGTCGATTGTTCCGTCGGCTTTTGTTTTCACGCGGAAAACCCATTTTCCCGTGAGAATGGTCTTGTTACGTGCCACTCCGATAGGCACGACTTTCCAGGTGTTGCGTTCTTGCAGCGCCTTTAACTCTCTGTCCATGGCTTCGCGCCATTTTTCCCTATGTTCCCCCCCCAGAGCCTGCTGAATGTTGGCAGGCTCCTTAGGCGGTGCTGCTCCGTGGACAGCGGTGACGAGTCCCAGTATCTGCAGTCCACTCTGTGTGTAGCAGGGGAGATTTGCGTCCTCGGGATAAGCTGCTTCATCTCCCGCTTCTGGATCTGGTAGGAAATTGGGTCCTATGCGTTTTGAGACGTTGGTGTTGACCGGTTGGGGTGTAACGTAACCGGTGTCGGCGAAGTCGAAGTAGGTTTCGGCGTTGACACTTTTGCGAGGGTTGTCGTCGTCCATGGGGATGTCCACAGAGCAATACGGGAGAGGTCCGGCTTCTTCCGAAGCTCCGTCCACGTTCTGCTCGTCCCAGTCAGCTTCGTCTGCTGTTGAAGCGAAAGCTTGGTTGCCACAGAAGCCACCCGTGAGGTCTCGATTTGCTGCCAGGTTGTCCAGGTACGTTTGAAGTGTGATTCGCTCATAGAAAATGACATCACGTGCTGCTACTGTTTCCTTCGAGTGGACGTCGAAAATCTTCCATGCGTTGTAATGCTTTTTGATGCCCAGGTGTAGCCCCCACTGTGCGCGTTGGGAAAATCTTCCGGCTCTCGTAGTGTGCGGTCGATACTGTACCATGCATCCAAAAACTCGTAACATTTTTGTGTTGCCCAGTTTCCTTGTCCACAGCAGGTGCGGTGATGCGTTGTTCGGGAGCGATGATGATGAGAGCAAATTGTGCAGCATGACAGCGTGGTCCATCGCCTCAGGCCACTGGTGGTTGGGCAATCGCATGCCACGCAACAATTTGCGCATGGTGTTCTGGAGAGTTCTGTTCATCCGTTCTGCCACGCCTTGCTGTTGATGGGCGTAGGGAAGCGAGATGAGTCGCTTGATGCCTCGTTCTGCGAGGTAATGCCTGAACCTTTGTGACTGATATTCCCCTCCCCCATCAGACTGGAAGCTTTTCAGCTTTGCTCCTTATTCTCGTTCTGCCATAGGTAGCCAGGCGATGAAGGCTTCGAAGGCCATGTCGCGACTTGGGAGGTTGAGGTGCCAGACGTATCGGGTGGCGGCGTCGATGAAAGTGATCACATAGTTATATATGCTCCCTGTCCTTGTTCGCGAGTATACAGGATGTTGCTGTATACTTTCTCGAGTGGTGTGTAGGCTGGCGCGCTTGGATTGTGGTGAGAGACAAATGGTTGATGAGGTAAGTCGGCTTTGGGGCAAGTAAAACAGGTTCCTCGGACTCGTTGAAGTTCTCTGCCGCCGGGTAGGAGTAAAGAACCTTTGTCAAGTACTGCTGCCTTGATCGTGTTATTTAACGTTGTGTTGCTTGGATGACCTAGTCTTTCGTGCCATAGTGATTCGCTCGCACGATGTCCGGGTGAGCGCATGTACAGGTCGGAGTTGGAGTAGAAACCCGCGGTGAGGTTGGCGCTTCTGTGAACTTCACGTGGAGTGGGAGTTAGCTGCTGCGCAGGAGTCGGTGGAGTGTCGTCGATGAGAGTTGGTGCCGTCGAAGAGCCCGCGATTGGTGCCGTAGGTGTTGTTGCTGGTGCCGATGTTATTTCTGTCGCTGTCGATGTTGTTTCTTCTTGCCGGATTGTTGCTAATGCCCTTGTTCTTTCTGCTTCAGGTATGGTATGTGAATACCAGAATCCTCCAGGACTGAAGTCGGGATCGAGATCGGGTGGATGTGTCCAAGAAGCGAAGTTGATGATGGCGTCGCTGTCGGCTGTTCCTTGGTCCGGAACGAAGTCAAGAACGAAGAAGTTGTTTTTCAAGACTACCTTGCCGATGTAGAGTCCGCCCTTTCCGTGGAATAACTTGAACTCCTGAGTGGTGCTGTCTTCTTCGAGATGAATGCCCTTCGCCATCAGTTGACTGACGCTGAGTAAGTTGTAGCCGAGTCCTTCTGCAATCAAAACTTTTGACATTTGTAGAATGACGTTAGTTTCTCTAGACTGAAGTTGTACGATCCCTTGTCGTCGTGTGTGCAGAAACTGGTTATTGGCGACGGTGATTACAACTTCGCGCTGAAGTTGATGTTCCTGTTGAACGAAGCGACCCGAGGAGCACATGTGCTGTCCGCAGCAACTGTCCAAGAACCAAGTGTCTTTCCCGGACGGCTCGCTCTGGGCGATGGCTGCATACGTCGGGTTGGGCTCCAGTGATTCGCGACGAGGAGTGCTCTCATCGAGCTGTTCTTCTGGTGAGTAGTGGGGTGGTGATCCGGTGATGCAGGAGTCTGTCGTTCTTGTCATGCAGCTCACGATATTTCTTGTTCCTTGTGCAGGTTTTGTCGTTGAAGACGTTGAAGACTATACTTGATTGGTGGGATGCGCCTGCGTAGAAGCTACTTGACTTCTCGAGGGCCGAAGTTGGCGTTGTGGTGACGTCAACTGCTGTTGATTCGGGCAGTGTGTGCGGGGATGTCCGGACGACTTGCAGAGGTGACAGAACGGTGGGACGTATTGTTGAATCTGACGATTGTTTTGTCGATTGTTGTTGTTGTTGTAGCGGCGTTGAGTGTGGAACGCGAATTCTGGTGCTGACACTTTCTTCTTGTGTCGTTCTTCGTGCAAGTCCATATCCTGCTGTTCAGCGTGAATTTCGGCGCAGAGTGCTGCTTCGGAGATTTTTCCGTGAGCTCGAAGGAGTGCTCGAGTGGAGCGCCAATGAGGACCGAGGCCGGCGATGATGACTGTTACGAAGGCTTCTTCGGATATTGCTCCTCGGCATCGAAGGAGTCTGTCGCGCAGTCCACGACAGCGGCTGATATACGCCATTCCCTTTTCGCCGGGTTTCATTTCCACTGTTGTTAG